CGCGTGGGCTTCAGTAGTTGTGGCACGTGGGCTCAATAGTTGTGGCCCAAGGACTCTAGAGCGCAGGCTCGTAGTTGTGGCGCACGGGCTTAGCTGCTTCTCGGCTGGTGGGATCTTCCCAGACCAGGGCTCGAACCTGTGTCCCCTGCATTGGCCGGCGGATTTTTAACCACTGCACCACCAGGGAAGTCCCACTGATGGTATTTTAAACCACTCCACAGTTACACACTCAGGTACTTCTCCTAAGCTCTAAACTGCAGGCACAGTCTGGGCAGTCGCCACCAGCCTTCCGCCTTCTGGAACCTTAGGCTTTGATGCTTCGATTTCGCAGGCTCTGTGCTGCCATCGCATGCATCCAGTTCCTGCACCTCCCCGTCTCATCCTAGCCCCGCTACAGAGCTGGCTTCTTTATTCCCATCTTGTAACTCTAGAAATGGAGGCTGTCTCCCTGCCTCTACTCTCCTTGGAGTCTCACCATAATATCCTCACATTCATTTTTAAACAATTCGATGACTTATAGAGTTATGCAGCCATCACCGCACATTTCCACCAACATGAAAAAGTCCCACCTGTGTACTTGCAGTCAATCCAGCGCCCGGCTCCAGCCCTAAGCCACCACTGATCTGATTTCTGTCTATAAACTTGCCTCTTCTGGATATTCTTATACATGAACTAATATGCAGTCTTTTGCTTCTGACTTCTTCCACTCCGTTTAAAGTTTTTGAGGTTCATCCATGCTGTAGCATGTACCAGTAGTCTGTTCCTTTCAGTTGCTGAGTAATATCCCAATGTATGGATGTACTGTTTTATTTATCTGTTCAATACCAGTTGATGGACATTTTGAGTTTCCAGTTTGGGGCTGTTTTGAGTAATGCTGCTATGAATGTTCATGTAAGTGTCTTTGTATGTGCATGTGTTTTTACTTGGGTAGATTCCTACGAGTAGACTTGCTAGGTTGTATGGAAAGTTTATGTTTATCTTAAGCAATGGTCAAACTGTTTTTCAAAGTGGCTGCACCATTTTACATTCCTACCAGCAATATATGACAATTTGTTTCCTCATATCCTTGTCAAGACTTGTTGTCTGTCTCTTTCATTATAGCCATCCTGATGGGAGTGAGGTGGTTTTAATTTGCATCGCTCTAATAACTAATGATCTTGAGCACCTTTTCATGTGCTTATGAGCCACTCATATATCTTATTTGGAAAAACACTTATTCAAATCTTTTTTTTTTTTTTTTTTTTTTGCGGTACGCGGGCCTCTCACTGTTGTGGCTTCTCCCGTTGCAGAGCACAGGCTCTGGACGCGCAGGCTCGGCGACCATGGCTCACGGGCCCAGCCATGGCATGTGGGATCTTCCCGGACCGGGGCACGAACCCGTGTCCCCTGCATCGGCAGGCAGACTCTCAACCACTCTGCCACCAGGGAAGCCCTATATGTGGATTTTTAAAAGTACGTAATACAGTACTACATGATCCAAGGTTGATTGAATCTGTAGATGGAAACTGGATAGGGAGGGCTGGTTGTAAAGTTATACTCAGATTTTCAACTGCTCAGGGGTTGTTGCTGCCCCTAACCCCTGTATTGTTCAGGGGTCAACGCTATTCTGGATACAAAGTCCCTAATCAAACATACGACTTGCAATTATTTTCCTCCAGTCTTCCACAGGTTTGTTTTTTTTTCTTTTTTTTTAAATTTTCTTAATGATGTCTTTTGAAGTGCACAGTTTAAAAATTTTGGTAAAGTATAATTTATAAATTTTTTCTTTTGTCATTTGTGCTTTTGCTGTTGCATCTGAGATCTCTGCCTAACACAAGGTAGGAAGATTTTCCTGCATAATTTCTTCTAGAAGTTTTATAGTTTTAGCTCTTACATTTAGGTCTATGGCCTATTTTGAGTTAATATTTGTACATCGTATAAAGGAAGGATCTAAACACATCTTTTGGCATGTGGATATTCAGTTGTCCCAGAACCATTTATCAAAAAGACTATCCTTTTCCCCATTGAATTGTCTTGGCACCTTTGTCAAAAATCAATTGACCAGGGCTTCCCTGGTGGCGCAGTGGTTGAGAGTCCGCCTGCCGATGCAAGGGACACGGGTTCGTGCCCCGGTCTGGGAAGATCCCACATGCCGCGGAGCAGCTGGGCCCGTGAGCCATGGCCGCTGAGCCTGCGCGTCCGGAGTCTGTGCTCCGCAACGGAGAGGCCAGAACAGTGAGAGGCCCGCTTACCACAAAAAAAAAAAAAAAATCAATTGACCAGGCACTTCCCTGGTGGTCCCGTGGTTAAGAATCCACCTTCCAAACCAGGGAACTTGGGTTCGATCCCTGGTCGGGGAACTAAGATCCCATGTGCTGCAGGGCAACTGAGCCTGCACGCCACAACTAGAGAGAAGCCTATGCTCTGCCAGGAAGAGCATGCGTGCCGCAACTAAGACCCAACGCAGGCAAAAATAAATAAATAAGTAAAGAGTTGATATTAAGAAAAAAAAAATCAATTGACCAGAAATGTAAGGGGTTTTATTTGGACTCTTGATTCTGTTCTACTGATCTATAAATCTATTCCTTTTTGTTGTTGTTTCTTTTTTTATTTAAGAAATTCAGGTATAATTTATACACAGTAATACACATCCTCTTGAGTGTACAGTTCTGTGAGTCCTGTTGTACGTCCACCTGAGATATACGCATCTCCATTACCTCCTCATAAGCTCCTCTGCTGTCAACCCCTCTCCCTCCTCCCCAACTCCAGATCTGCTTTCTGTCCTTAGCATTCTGCCCCCTCCAGAAAGTCATATAAATAGAATCCTATAGCCCTCAGCCCTCCGAGTCTGAGTTGGCTTCCCTCTCCAACCTATCCTCCAACATCCAGAGTGATTTTTCCAAAATATAAATCTGCCTGCTCCTCTGTGCCTCTACTTCAGCCCAGATGGACCCTGCAGGGTCTGGCCTCTGCCCATAGTTCCTGCTGGTCTGGACAGACAGGATGGATGGCTCGTAAACCCGGTTTACAGAACAACCACCCAAGGGCTTGTCAGTACCACACATTCCTGGGTCTTGGCCCCAGAGACCGAGATTCAGTAGTTGGGGAGGGGCCCAGGGATCTGTTTTTTTATACAAGCCTAGGGAGATTTGGAGGCCGTGGTCACAGGCCACGCTTTGAGAAACAGAGCTGAGTACAAAGCCTTTCCCCACACCTTCCACACCTGCCCAGCTGCCCCTGTGTGGCCTCCTCTCCTTCCTTCTCCACCCCACTCTGCCTACGCATGCTCTGTCCCGTTTAGTCAAGGGCTTTGACATTTGTTCCATCATCATGAAAGGTGCCCCCCCCCCCACTTCCCATCCACCAATCCAAATCTCTGTGCCCCATACAACTTCCCCTCTGCTCAATTGTCACTTCTACAGAGAAGTCTTCCCTAACTCCCTGGGTAAGCCATTCTCCCAGCATAGTTGTCTCCTGTCATTTCTTTCTTTCTTTTTTTAAAGTTAATTTATTTATTTTTGGCTGCGTTGGGTCTTTGTTGCTGCGAACGGGCTTCCTCTAGTTGCGGCGAGCAGGGGCTACTCTTTGTAGCTGTGCGTGGGGTTCTCATTGCAGTGGTTTCTCTTGTTGCGAAGCACAGGCTCTACGTGCTCAGGCTTCAGTAGTCGTGGCTCGTGGGCTCTAGAGCACAGGCTCAGTAGTTGTGGCACGCAGGCTTAGTAGTTGTGGCTCGCGGGCTTAGTTGCTCCGCGGCATGGGGGATCTTCCCGGACCAGGGCTCGAACCCGTGTCTCCTGCATTGGAAGGCGGATTCTTAACGACTGTGCCACCAGGGAAGCCCTCTCCTGTCATTTCTTATTATTTGTGTGATTCTTTGATTAACACCAGTCTCCCTGATTGGGCTGCATGAAGATAAGGGTGGGGTCTGTTTTGTTGCTCACTGTATCCCCAGTGCCAAGCATGGGGTTGGCATATACTAGGTACTTAACAAATATTAGTTGAGTGGTTGAAGGAATGATTGAGTGAGTTGTCTACTATGTTTTGCACAAGCTGTCTAGTGGCCCGGGTGACCCTCCCCCACATCTTTGCTTAGTCCGCTCGTACTGGTTTTTCCAAGGCAAACACAGTTTGGAGAAAGTTGAGCCTGGAGCCACTCCTTCTTGGTCCCCCAGGGCAGACCTCTTATCACCCCTATGAATTGTTGGTTAACCCACTGTCACCCACTTGGGCTGGAAGGCGGCTGCTGCCTTTGATCTCGGCCTTCCAGGCCCTCTCTCCACCCTTGTGTTTGCCTAGTGCAGAAGGAGAGCGCTAAGGGGAATCCCCTGGCACCTGGCCAGACCTTTCCCCAAATCACTCCTCCCGCTATGAGACCTTGCCTAACCCCTTCGATTTTAGAAGGGGAAGCTGAGACCCTGGACTTTGCTTAGAAGGGAAGATATATGCTGGGTGCCTCTGAGGGGCCAGGGTGCAGTCTGGGTGGCCAGACTGTGGCTGGAGGTCAAGGGACAGGCCATGTTGCTGGACTCCCTCTGGCTGGCTTCCCTCTTTCGCAGAGTGCCCTTTGCTCCAGGGGGGTAGGACCCTGAGCAGCAGACAGGCCCCCTAAATTGGCCAATGAACAGACCAGGTCTGGGGAGGGGCATGGGGAAGAGTGGGCTGGGCCATTTTCCCTGACTTTCCAGGCCCCAGCCTCTCCCTCCCAGGTCATGAGAATACTAGATCTTCGCTCTCGAGGCAGTTCAGTTCGACTGTCTCTCCCCTGGCACCTGCTAAGAAGGACAAAAACAATCCCAGCCAGTGTAGAGTGTCAGGGAGTCCCCGCCCCTCCTCCTGTGCTTCCTCCTCCCCTGCCCCTCCTTCAGGCCCCGCCCCCACCTGCCCAGGATAATTTGTTTCCTTGGGCCAGGAGCCTGGACAACAGAGCTCAGCCTGCCCCCACTTCTGCCCTGTCCAGTCAGGACACCCTCATACCACCTGTAGAGAAGAGGGAGCAGATTTGAAATCAAGTTCAGGTATCTGATGTTCCTAGATAGAGCCGGACTTCGAACGCTGTGTCCTGCTACTCTTGCTGGGGCTTCTCCAGGTAAGGGGACCGAGATCGGTCCCAGACGACAACCTGCTCCCACCCCCCAGCCGCACCAGGGCCCCAGGCTGTGCCAGTCTCAGGGCCAGGAGCTGGCTGGCCGGATGCCCAGGTGGACAGGACGGGCGGCCGCCTGGCTCCCCCTCCCCTTCCCCCCTCAGTGATGTCAGGCCAAGGGCGGGGACAGGAGGGGGACAGGTAATTAAGGGCTTGGAGTCTCCCTCCCTAAACCGGTGGCCCCAGCCAGGTGTACCAACACCCAGGGTCCAGGTAAGGACCAGAGCGGGCACTTCATCTTGGGGTCGGGGAGCACCGGCAGATGCAGGATCAATAAGGAAAAAGATCTGGCCTCCTGCTGTGTCGCTCTAGCGGCCTCGCTTTCTCTTTCTCTCCAGTCTCCCATCCCGCCCCCTCCTCACCATCTACCCCCAGTCTCTCCCTATGCTCATTTCCCGTTCTGCCTGGTCCTTCGTCCTTCTCCGCATCTCCCTCTCCCTAACCTCCCCTACCCCAGACACACTCAGGAACCAGCTGATGGGGTCGGGGAAGCAAGATACCAGATTCTCTCCCCTTGGAGACGCGGCTTTCCTGCTGAAACTAGCCCCTCCCCACATTCCCAGAAAGAGAGCTAGGAGAGGAGTCCGAATACCGAGGGAGCTGCCCCAAGTCTCTCCCTAGCTCAGTCTGACTTGACCCCAGTTTGAGTTCCCCCAAGTCTTTATTAAAGACAGACGTCCCCGCGGGGGCAGCGGAGCACCCACCAATTTGGAGGGCAGTAAAGGAGAGGGATTCTCTTAATTGCTAGAGCTCCGTCTCTCTGGATTGTATCCTGACTCAGGAACACGGGGGTCCTGCCCTCGGGTGGGAAGGTGGGGGTGGGGCAGGCCCGGGGGACGTGGGGTGGTCTCTTCTGGCTTCAGAAAGAAGTGGTCTTGGCAGGCTGGAGGTCTAGATGTTGGGGCATCTGCAGCTCGGGGGGGCCTGGGAAGAGTGGGTGTGCGTGCGGGGCGGGGAGGGCTGCCTCGTCTGTCTGAATAGGCTGAGGAAAGACCCGGTCCGAGTCTGGGTCTCCCTGGCACGTTGGGGATGGAGAATGCACCTGCCCGCCATTGTCAGGCCTTGCAACCCCACTGCCCCTCAAGAATGCCCCCCTCTTGGTCTGCCTGTCCTGGACTCTGCTCTCCCCTCTCCCCCTGATATCCTGCTGGGGAGGCCCCCCGTGAAGGCTAGCAGCCTGTAATGATTAACTCCACAGACACTCCAGCATTCTTCCCAAATTAAACTTTAAAAGAGCTGCCCCCCGGACTCCCATTGGGCGTTTTTTCCCTAGTTAGGGAGTGGGCGGGGCCTCAGGGTCCGTGGCCCTCCCCCCAGCTCCGGGTCATCTAGGGGTTTCCCGCCTCCTCACCTGGGCCCTCACCCTAAGGGCTCCCCCACGGGTAAAGCCTTCCCCCCCCCCCCCCACTAAAACCCGATGGGGGCGGGGCGTGGGGTCCTGGGCCAGGCCGGGGCCTTCCCGCCACCTCCCGGCGCTTCCAACCCCTCCCCCTACCCTGGGAAGTACCGAAGGTGGCCTTGTTTTCTACGGGCCTCTTACTGGGCCCTGCCACCCGCCCTCGGGGCCAGCCAGGTGGGGCAAGATTCAGGAAGTAAACAAGGAGGCTGAAGGCCTGGAGGACGGGAAGGAGGGTGGGGCCGGAGCCGCCAGGGCCGGAGAGGCTACTGGGGAAGCCACCAATGGGATTCGCAGTAATGAGGGGACAGATTGATTTGGGGGGTCGATTTCTTCAATATAACCTTCCCAGGGCCCCAGTTTGAAAGCTTCAGCTCTCTTGGCGATGGGGGTGGAGGCTGCCCAAGCCGGACAGCTAGGACCCCGTTTCTGCTCCCTTTTCTCTTTGGTCCCCACTGCCCCATTCCTGTCTTGCCTTAGAAGGGTCTGGAGAGCAGGATGGAGGAATCTGAAGGCTAAACCCATCCTGAGTCAGCCTTCCTGCCCACAGAGGCCAGACTCTAGTCTGACTTAAATCTACCCTCTTCCCTTCCAAATGCTGCCCAGATTCCCCTTCCCCCTGGGATGGGGGAGGACCCAGTCCTCTGGGCCCCAGACCACCGCACTGTTGGTCTCTGGCTTCCTGGTGGAGGTAGCCCCTGCAGCCCCTCCCCTAGTCCTCCTCAGAACGAAGTCACCAGGGCTGGCTGCCAGAGGTTAGACGGGTGCGAGTGGAGTGTTGATGTGCCGGCGTCTCTGGATGTTCGATGGTGGGTGTGTCTTCCCCTTCCTGGCAGGACCCCCCTGGCTCTCTCTCTCCTGGCCTTCCCCTGTCTGCCTGTCTGTGTCTGTCCTCTTGTGTGTCTTGACTTTCTACTCCTGTTCCTGAGTACACTTCTGGCCAGGACAGCCAGGAGAGTGTATTAATTAGAAGGACCCTCATCCCCCAGGGCTGATGAGGATGAGCCCCATGGGCCAGCTGAGTCCTGGGTGCTAAGGGTGGGCAGCAGCAGCAGAATGAAAGTCTTGAGGGCCCCAGACAGGAGAGGGAGCGCTGCATGTTTCTTTGGGTTACTTTGGGTGCACTAGGGGCACCCCTGAGAGGTCAGCTCCACTCCAGATGGGCTTCTGAATCCAGGCCAGGCCTTTCTTCTCTTCCTCCTGGGTGAGGGGGCTCCTGGGCTGGGTGGTGGCTACTGAGGCCCATTGCAGGTGCCACCTGTGCTGGAGGAGTTGGAGTTAGGCCAAGGGTGGGAGGAGGAGATGATGTCAGAGGAGCCTCAGCGCCCCCCTCCCCACATCCTCCTCCTCCCCCGTCCTGTTCCCGGCCCCTCCCCCGTTCCTCCCAGGCCAGTAGGTTGGGGGGGGAGTGGAGGGGGTGGGTAGAGGCAGGGTTGTTTGTGTTTCTCCTAAGTCAGGAAGCTGTGCAGGTGAGTCAAGGTTGAATGGAGAGCCCCAGGCAGTGCTGTCCCACCCCACCCTGACTCACCTGTCCCCCAGATCTCCTAACGCCCTCACTTAAGGGTTGGGGACCTGCCTCATCCTGGGGGCGGGGGGTCAATCCCAGGTACCTTAGGCACCAAACGGCACCGGCCCAGTGTCTGGAGAGCAAGTAGGGGGCTGAACTGTGAGTCCTCCCAGGTCCTCCCAGGTCTCAGCCCAGTCAAAAGGGTCTTGGTTCCTGTGGAGGAGGGGCCTGCAATGCCTCTACCCGCTAGTGGGCACCTTTGCCTCATCTCTTCTCTCCTTACTCGTCCTGGATGCCTGTGGGTGATAAGACACGGGTAAGACCCTGGCCTTGCCTGGGGTGGCCGGGCATCTTCAGACCAGTGGGTGGATAAGACAGGTGCACAGTAATTGGCGCAGAGGCCCCAGCACAGTGTGGAGAGGGAGCCCTTCAGTCTGAATGTGGAAAATCCAGGAAGGCTTCTCAGAGGAAGTGGCTTGGCATTGAGGCCTTAAGAAATTTAGGCAGGAGGAGGGGCCTGGGGAAGGCACACAAGGTTTGGGGGCTGCTAGGGCGAGGGCCCCCAGGCTAGCTTCCTCCCTCCCACAGCAGCTGAGCCCGCCTCCTGCCCTCCTGGCTCCCGTCCTTCCGCACCTCCTTCTCCCCTTCCGTGCATCACTCGGCACTTGGGAAGGCGTTGCCACACCAGGCTCTGACAACAAAGCGCTGGAAAAACCTGGGGCAGAGCCCAGAGGAGTGAGTGCCCCACGTTCAGAAAGGGTGACGCCGAGACGCTGAGCCCCAGACCGTCCGTGCGTCATGGAGTCTGTTGCCGCTGCCTGTCTTGTGGTGGGGGACCCTCACAGCTCTTCCCCTGGACAACCTGGGCCTAAGGAAGAGCACTGGACTTGGAGCCCAAACACCGGGTTCCACTCCCTGGCTTGCCTGTGATGGGGCAACGATGCTTCCTTCTCAGGAACTCAGTGTCCCCTGTGTTAAAATGGGCACAATCTACCCTTCCTCAAAGGCTCCAGGGAATGCCAGTTAGGGGGGAGCAAGGAGGTGCTGTGTAAACTCTGGGGGGCACCTTGACAGCAGGGTGAAGTCAGGAGGTCTGGGTCCTCTTGGCCCCTCTCCCCAGGACAAGGGCACAGGAGCAGCTGTGTCAGCCCCCTCTTCTCCCTCAGATGTCATGGAGCTGGGTCTGTCTCCACCTCATCTCAGCAGCTCCTCAGAAGACCTGTACCTGGCCCCTGGGACCCCTCCTGGGACTCCCCCACCTCCCGATGTTCCTCTGTCTGGGGAGGTGAAGAGGTCCCAGCCTCTGTCCATTCCGACCGGCAGGTAAAATGGGGTGACGGCTGAGGGGGGGCGGGGGGGAGTGGTCAGCGCCGGGGTAACGCACAGAAGCTTGCAGTCAACTCCTCACTCCCCACTCCTTCCCCCTACACCGCCCAGGAAACTTCTTCGACAGGAGGAGCTGCGGTCAACCTCTCTACCCTCCATCCCCAACCCCTTCCCCGAGCTCTGCAGTCCTCCTTCACAGACCCCCATTCTTGGGGGGCCCTCCAGTGCAAGGGGGCTGCTCCCTCGAGACACCAGCTGCCCCCATGTGAGTTGTCCTGGGAAAAAGAAGGCAGGGAGCGTGGGGTGCTATGGGACAGGGGTGGACACAGTGCCGCCCCGGAGGAGGTGGGGGGATTTGGTCAGGGATCCCTGAGGGTAGAGCAGACGGGGGACGGGAAAGAACCATCCTTTGCCCTTCCCCGAGTCTTCTGCCGTTCCTGGGGCACAGGTCATAAAGGTGTACAGTGAAGATGGGGCCTGCCGGTCAGTGGAGGTGGCAGCGGGCGCCACGGCTCGCTACGTGTGTGAGATGCTGGTGCAGCGATCTCATGCCCTGAGTGACGAGAACTGGGGGCTGGTGGAGGGCCACCCCCACCTAGCACTGGGTGAGTTGGGGTGCAGGGGGCTGCCTGGCCCAGGAGTCAATGCTTCACACCTTGGGCTAGGCCGGTGGCCCATCCGGGAGGCCTCGTTGGTCTCCACTGACCCCTGCTCTTTGCCCTTGACCCTAGAGCGGGTCTTGGAGGACCATGAGTCGGTGGCGGAAGTGCAGGCTGCCTGGCCCATCGGCGGAGACAGCCGCTTTCTCTTCCGGAAGAACTTTGCCAAGTACGAGCTGTTCAAGAACACCCCAGTGAGTGTGTGTGTGTGGGGTCTGGGCACTGGGACACCCCGATCCCCACCCTGGACCCTCAGTCCCTGACTCCTGGCTCCTTTCTCCCCCAGCACTCCCTGTTCCCAGAAAAGATGGTCTCCAGCTGTCTGGACGCACACACGGGCATATCCCACGAAGACCTCATCCAGGTGAGGGGACACCCCCATTTCACGGCATGTCCATGACTCCGCAGGAATGCCCAGTGCTTCTTGGCCCTTAAGCCTGTGCCTTCCGTCTTTGGGGTGGAAAGCCCAGCGCAGCCCTAAGTGACCGTGGACAAGTCACTTTCTCTGCCTGAGCATCAGTTTCTTTGTTAAATGAAGACAATAAATGTATGTGATGCACCTCCTGCCATAAAGGCAGGTCCTGGGAAGCCCTGTGTGTGTGTGTGTCTGTGTGTGTGTGTCTGTCCACCTCTAGGCCTCTCACCCTGCTCTCCTCTGGCCTCAGAACTTCCTGAATGCAGGCAGCTTCCCAGAGATCCAGGGCTTCCTGCAGCTACGGGGGTCAGGACGCAAGCTTTGGAAACGCTTCTTCTGCTTCCTACGCCGGTCTGGCCTCTATTACTCCACCAAGGGCACCTCCAAGGTGAGGTCTTGAGGGTGACAGCCCCAGCCCCTCAGATACCCCATCCCTGGTCCTTCTAGGAGCTGCCCCTTCTCTGTTGGAACTCCTGGACCTTCCCCCCTCTAGGCCCTGAGACCCACAGCTGCTCTTCTTTCCCTCCCAACTTACCTACCTCAGGAGTTAGCAGTGGGAGAGGCAGGTGAACTGAGTTCAAGTCCTGGCTCTACTTCTGTGTGCTGTGTGACTTGGGGCACTTCTCTGCTCCTCTCTGGGCCAGAATTCTCCCCAGCTGGCTTACGGGGCAGTGGTGGGGATGGGGCCTGCCTTTACCGAGTGTTGCTCACTTGTGCTGTGCAGGATCCGAGGCACCTGCAGTGTGTAGCGGATGTGAACGAGTCCAACGTGTACGTGGTGACCCAGGGCCGCAAGCTCTACGGGATGCCCACGGACTTTGGCTTCTGTATCAAGGTGAAGAGCCTGGCCTGGTCTGGGAGACAGCAGGAGCTTCTAAGCACCAGGATCCTACCTGGGGCTTCTAAGCTCCCTCTGGGACCTCCAGACTCCTCTCCCTGCACCCTGCCCTGCCCCACGGAGACGGGAGACGGGAGACGATCTCTGGTCCTAAAGGCAGATATAGGACCAGCAAGTTTCCTCTCCCCGCAGCCAAACAAGCTTCGAAATGGCCTCAAGGGGCTTCGCATCTTCTGCAGTGAGGATGAACAGAGTCGCACCTGCTGGTTAGCCGCCTTCCGCCTCTTCAAGGTGAGGTCCTGGCACTGGCTTGGGGGGCTGGCCCAGCCCTGGGGGTCCCTGGGGTGAGGGAGGAGTTATAGCTCTGCCCTCAGGAAGGCTCCAGAATGAGGGGGCATCACAACCTTGCTCTCAGAATCCTTGGTCCAAGGCTGGAGTCTCAGCTCTGGCTTCAGGAAAGCCCCTTATCCAGGGGCAGAGATGTAGCCCTGCTCTTGGGGAGCTCTGGTCTGGGTAGGGGGCGGTGCCACCGCCCAGCTCCCAGCACCTGCTTGACCTCCGGCCTCCTTTCTCTCTCCACCTCCCAGTATGGGGTGCAGCTGTATAAGAATTACCAGCAGGCACTGTGCCGCCACCTGCGCCCACCCTGTGTGGGTTCCCCGCCCTTGGTGAGTGTGCCCAGGGGTGTTAGTGTGGGGAGACGGGGGAGGCACCCAGGCCCCGTGCTGGGGATACTTGGGTCCTGCTTTGACCCATCCCCCCGCCCTGTCCAATCTGCAGAGGAGTGTCTCAGACAACACCCTGGTGGCCATGGACTTCTCTGGCCACGCCGGGCGTGTCATCGAGAACCCCCGGGAAGCTCTGAGTGCCGCCCTGGAGGAGGCCCAGGCCTGGAGGGTTTGTTCTGGGGACCTACTCTCCACATGGGTTTCCATGGAGTGGGAAGAGGAAAGCGAGGGGAGAGGGGAGGCCCCCAGCTGCGGAAAGAGGCTCTGTATTCTTCAGGGGCTGGTAATACCCCAGCCACGCCCTGACCCCCCGTGTCCCTCACTTGCTCTGCAGAAGAAGACGAACCACCGACTAAGCCTGCCCACCCCGAGCTCTGGCACGAGCCTCAGTGCAGGTGGGTGAGGGCCCGCCGTCCCCAGGAGTGGGGACTGCCATGGGTTCTCTGCGCATTCCTCACGGGGGGGTTAGAATGAGGGTCCCCGCCCTGGAGTGACCGCCCCTCTGCCTCTCCTCACCCCAGCCATCCACCGCACCCAACCCTGGTTCCACGGACGCATTTCCCGCGAGGAGAGCCAGCGGCTCATCGGGCAGCAGGGCCTGGTAGACGGGTAAGGGGCAGGGCTGGGCAGGGCAGCAGCGCCGGGGACAAGAGAGACGTGGGTCAAGGTGGCAGCCGTGTGTCCTCGGGTAATATTGCCCTGTCTCCTGGCAGCGTGTTCCTCGTGCGAGAGAGCCAGCGGAACCCGCAGGGCTTTGTCCTCTCGCTGTGCCATGTGCAGAAAGTCAAACATTACCTCATCATGCCGGTGAGTAGTCCCAGGTTCCTGCTGCAGTGGAGATGCAGGAGTCCCAGCAACCTGCCTTCCTCGCCAGGCCCCCTCCCCACGCTGGCCCCCAGTGTGCCTGGGGTCTCCCGCTCTTTCCTTCCTCCTGCTCAAGCTGTGGGGACCTCAGCCCTGGCCCAGGAGGGAGCTCATTCGGCCCCGGGCCCCTCCCTGACCTCCCACCCCCTATGGCCACACCCCAGAGCGAGGAGGAGGGGCGCCTGTACTTCAGCATGGACGAGGGCCAGACTCGCTTCACCGACCTGCTGCAGCTTGTGGAATTCCACCAGCTGAACCGTGGCATCCTGCCCTGCTTGCTGCGCCACTGCTGCACCCGCGTGGCCCTCTGACCACCACACAGGCAGGCCTGCGTCTCAGCCCACTCCGCGCTGCCCACCCACCTCCGCTCCTAGGGTGGACGCAGAGGGGGCAGAAGGTGGGGCCAGGGTCATCGTGAATGGCTGGGGGCTCCCCCACCCCGGTTTCCTCCTCTGCTCCTGGCCTCCCTCAGGCCGAAAGTGCTCCCCGCCCGGTCCACCCTTAACTTCTCCTTAAGGGAAGGCACTTGGGTGGGCATCTCCCCTTCATGGCGCTGCTCTGGGGCAGGGCATTATGGGAGAAATGGGGGCAGCCCCGGTGGTCTTTACACTCCACACTTTGTACAGACTGAGAGGCCAGTTGATCTCTGTTTTATACTAGTGACAATAAAGATTATTTTTTGGTACTCACAGGGGTGAGTTCTGTCTGGCAAGGCACGGTTAGGTGGAGTAGAGAGGAGAGGTGGGCACCAGTCAAGGCCTTGAGAATGTGTCGGATGGATCGAGGCCACATGCTGGCCAAGCCTGGATGTTTCTTTTTTTTTTTGTATATCCCATCTCCCCACTAATCCCCCAGTCCTTGCTTAGAAACCTGGATTTTTCTTGAGGTCCTCTTTTGGTCATCTGAGAGTTTCCGGTGCCCAGCATGGAGCCCGGCGCATAGTGGGTGCCCAAGGATTGCTTGTTAAATGAATGAATGGACAGGGGACTGTCATCCAGGTGAGGTTTCCTGACAGGACCTAAAGCTATGGAGGTCACTCTAACAGGGCCTGGGAGCTGGAGATGAGTCAGACAGCATCCGTGTCCTTGGCAAGTCCTGGGCTACCTGGCGAGATAAGGAATCCTGAGAAACGCACGATCTACCACCACCAAGTCACACAATGGCTCTGTTACCTTACCTCCAACAGGTCCCTGTGACGCACCCCCCACCCCCCGCCCTGTCAACCCTCTCCCTCCTCCCCAACCCCAGGTCTGCTGCCTGTCCTTACAGTTGGTTCTACGCCCTCCAGAAAGTCCTATAAATGGAATCCCACAGCACTCAGCCCTCTGGGTCTGGCTTCCCTCTCCAGTCTGTCCTTCAACATCCAGTGATCTTTCCAGAATATCACTCCGCCTGTTCCCCGGGCCTCCACTTAAGCCCCGATGGACCCTGCAGGGTCTGGCCTCTGCCCACTGCCCATACCAGCCTATGTTTTTGTCGAAGAGTTTTATAGTTTCAGCTCTTACATGATGGGGGAGCTTTATAAGAAAGGTATCAGACTGGTAACACCTGAACTCCTGCTCAATCTTCAGATCGCAAAGAGATAGACCCTCCCTCCACACGTGTGAACCTCAACGGGTCATTATTTTTGCCAAGAAATCAAGCTCCCTGAATCCAATGACTAGTTTATCGGAAATAAAAGGAAGAGAGGAACACGTGAAATGACACATGGGGATACAATTACCAAAATCCAGATTGGGGAACTACAGAACAGATAACCCAGTTTCTTCTTCAACAACAAAAAATTACAAGAGAAAAGATGGGGACTCTCTAGGTTTCAAGAAATTTAGACATCTATCAAGCAGATGTAATGTGTTGACCTATTTGATTCAAATCCAAACTAGAGAACTGGAAGAAGCATTTATGAGCAATTGGGGGAAATTTGAACTCTGATGAGATATTTGGTAATATTAAGGAACTATGGTTAACTTTTTAAAGGGTGATAGTGGTATTGTGGTATTTTTGTTTTTTTTTTTAAGTCTATACGTTTAAGAGATTCATTCTGAAGTATTTATGGGTGAAATGATGTCTCAGCTTTGTTTTTTAAATAACCCAGAGGTTAGGGGAGAGAGTGTGAGTATAGTCATAGGTTGACCATGAGTTGACATTGAAGCTGGGTAATTATTCTTTAATTTTGTATAAGCTTGAAAATCTAGAATAATTAAAAAAAATTTTAATGTAGGATCTCTCCCCAAATCTTTGAGATTGGCTGGGCATGAGGTGGTGGGATCCCATTTGTCAGGTGAGGAAACTGACTCCTCCTCGAGGAGAACTGCCCCAAATCAGTGGGAGAGCCAGGTCTGGGCCGTTCCCCTGCCCCTGCCAGGCTGACTTCCAGGTGGAATTCCCAAGTGGCCTGTAGGGGGTCCTCCCCTGGAGAGCCCCCTCCCTTCTCTGCAGCCCTCTGGCTGATGGGAGGTGTTGTCCTGAGGTGACCTTGAGAAGGACCAACCTCCACAGCCAGCCCTTGGGCCAGGCTTGGCAGCTCCAGCAGCCACTCGTGACCGAAGCATCCCCAACCCTGGCTAATCCCAGGCTGGGGAGCCAGGCCTGTCAGACAGAGGTGGGCAGAAAGGCCTCATCCATCCTCAGCCTGGAACCTTCCGGGGTTTACCCTGAAGAACTTACTGCAGCCCAGGTGTGAGAGGGGTGCAGATTTTGTTTCTTTTTAGCAGGATTTAAGGAGGCAGGGACCAGTGCAACCTGCTGCCTGCCACCTGCTACCTGCCACGGTTCCCAGAACCATCCTATCAGTGGCTGCCCCTCGGGCTCGAGCTGGCTGGTACTGGCCGTGTGCTGGCCATGGATGCCCAGGGCCACTTCCGAAGCATGGGTGCAAGGGGTCCAGGCCAGGGTGAGAGTAAAGGGGTTACAATGAGTCACCTCTTAAGCATGTCCAGGGATTTAGGCTGCATAGAAACAGGACACAGGACTTCCCTGGTGGCGCAGTGGTTAAGAATCCGCCTGCCAATGCAGGGGACACGGATTCGATCCCTGGTCTGGGAAGATCCTACATGCCACGAAGCAACTAAGTCCGTGTGCCACAACTACTGAGCCTGCGCTCTAGAGCCCTCAAGCCACAACTACTGAAGCCCGCATGCCTCGAGTCCGTGCTCCGCGACAAGAGAAGCCACCGCAACTAGAAGCCCGCGCACCACAATGAAGAGTAGCCCCCACTCACGGCAACTAGACAAAGCCCGGTGCAGCAATGAAGACCCAGCACAGCCAAAAAATAAATAAATGTTAAAAAAAAAAAAAAAAGCTCTATTTAAAAACAAACAAACAAAAAACAGGACACAGTGTCCCCTCACAGCCTAAGACACAGGGCAGGAGACAAAGCCCTTCTATGTCAATCAGCTAATTGGAGGATGTGAGACAGAGATCATTCCCATTTTATAAATGGGAAACTGAGGTTCAAAGAGAGTCTCCCCCACCCCGAGGTCATAGATACAGTTAGGGACAGAGGTCAGACTCAGCCCATCTTGCAAGTGGTGAACACAGTCCTTCCTTGCCCTGTCCTTTTTTCTCTGCCCCCTTCCTTCTCAGTGTCACTATGAGGGACCTGGACTGCTGGGGACCTTTAGAGGCAGCAGCTGGCTCAGCCCTGAGCTGGATACTGGAAATCGGCAGCTGGACATCCTTGGTGAGTGGCTGAGATTGCTGGCTTCCTGGAGGAGAGGCAGCAGTTGAGAATGCGGGAGACAAGGGCCCCTCAGCTCACAGAGAGACCAGGGCAAGATTCCCCAGCTCTGAGGACGCAGCGTGACCCGCAGAGGCCAGACAGCGGAAGGGACTGACAAGGAGAGCTGCAGTGCTAGATAGCGGAGGCCTGTGGTTATGAGGAAATCTGGGCTGGTGGGAGGAGGCGGGGCAGGTAGAGGAAGTAGGGGCTAGTGCCTCAGATAATATCTTTTCGATATTGTTATTGGGTTTGATTATCTTAAAAAAATGTCCTTGTTAAAGAACATTTCAGAAACCGGTAAAAGACTTTGGGAAAGAAAAGGAAATTCCCCATATCTCCCCCTGCTGAGGACGCAAGCATTGAGAGAGGGTGATGCAGGGCCATACGCAGGGAGCTGGCCCTAAAAGGCCTGTAGTACGTCATAGACACCGGCTCCTGGAGCTAGTGTGGCTGCTATGAGCCTGGCACCAAGGTGCAGAGCTGTCCTTGGCAGCAACTGGGCCTGTAGGAGGGTGTGGCCACAGGGTTGGCCTCCCTGCCTGCTCAGGTATGGAGGGCAGGGAGGGCTGGTGCCAACTTTCTGGACTCTGGGAAAAGGTGGGCATGATTCTAGGGGAGCCCTTCTCTCCTAGGATGTCCTGGGAGGGTCATCCAGACAGACAAACTCTGGCCAGTTCATTCTCTCCCTGCTCCCCAGACATCCTGGTCAATGAAATCTATGCAGCCTCCAAGTTCATGAGCGGAGGACCTCCTAGTGCAGGCCTGAGGGTTCCACCTCAGGTCAGTGACCCTGTCTGGCTCCTTCCTCTTGCTCCAGTGCCAGACACACCGAGGAGGGAGGGAGGGAGGAAAGGAGAGAGGCAGGGGAGCCCAAGGACACTCAGAAAGATCCTTTCTTCTGGATCTTTGCTCATGTCTACATGAGCACTTTTCAAGTGTTCTGCAGGGGTTTGGGGGCAGGTTGGGGAGATTTGGAGGGAGCACTGCCTTTATATCTGGGAGTTCGGCTTCATGGTGTATTTGAAAAAAAAAAAAGGCTTCCACTACTGAACCACCTCTCTGGTCCAGCAGGCAGAAAAGAGGAGCCAGAGAGGTCAGGGGTTGGTCCAACTTGCACAGAGGTTGGGGAGTGGTGGGGGTCTGTAGCAGAACCTCAGCTTTGGGGCTTGGGCATGAGGTGTGCAGCAGTCTCTTCAGACAGAGCTTTCAGCTGGGGCAGGGAGTTGGGAGAGGAGGCAAAAGAGAGAATCGTATCTTGGGGGAGTTTGATGTTGCAGACTGGCATCAAGAACCACAGGGGAGTGGGTGATCCTGGGGGCTGAGGCTGGTGCTCAGGGGTCCCTCATGATCTCCATACAGGAAGGGAGGGGTGTTGGGAAGTGGTACCATTTGGGCTGAGAAGGGTTGTGTTGTACCAGGCCCTAATGAGGCCTGAAATTCAATCTCATGTGGGTTGAGCTATGATGGCTTCTAGCGTCCTCTTGCAGGGCCGCGTCCACCCCAAGGAAGGGGCAGGTTTTTCTTTCCCAGGCACCTGGAGGGCTGTTTAGCCGGAGCTGTGTTTTCATGGTAAGCAGTTTGTTTTTACTCGGATTGGGTTTATCTTGTGGTTCTGGGGAGACTGAGGGAGAGTGGTAAGCCAATGCCACTCTGTTAGGGCCGCCACGTGGATCCCTCTAAGGTCTCTGTAGTGGCGCTGGGCCCTGTGACCTTGGAGTGTGAGGGGAAGCTGTACACGGGGACAGAACGGGCCACCTGTACCCCCACAGACCCGCAGCCGATGGACGTGTTCCTCTGCATTTACTTGCCCAACGCGCACCCTGAGTTAGATCCAAGACAGTGTAGAAGTGCACATTCCTACCAGACATTCCAGGCTATCTCTTTTCTTCCCTCTCCTCTTACATCCATCAGTCCGATACAGGTTCCCACCTTTTGGTTCCCTTCTCCCAAGCTGAGCCATCCGTCCCAGACATCTAAGGGATGAGTTGGGGGTGGGAAGGGGCGGCTGGGTGAGTAGGAGTGAGGATGCAGCTGGAGACCCATCCCACAGTCGCTCTGGCTCCGCAACACGTGCGCAAGGTGATCTGCACCTTCCGCAAGCCCTTCCTTTCTCCTCTCCCCCCAGGAACGACCCGGCCTGCACGCGGTCGCCGGCGCCGACGGGCTCGAGCTGTCGCGGAGCTGCGGGCACCTGTCTGGACAGAGCCCCCTCCGCCTCTGAGGCTGAAAGGCCCGCTGGCTTCGCCAGCGGGTGCGCTTAGGGGGGCGGTGCCTGACTTTCAGCTGACCCGGCCCCGCCGAAGCCGCCGAACATGCGCCGTCGATCCCCGGGCCAGCGGGAGTAGGCTCGCGCGGCGCCACAGCAACGAGCCCATCCGTCGCGGGGCAAGGGGATTAGTTTGCTCTTCATTGCGAGTCGGTGGGCTGGGCGAAGGCCTCTAGAGACCAGGCGGGTGGAGGGAGGTCTGAGCGCCTCATCCAAGCACCGCGGGGCCTCCGGGGGCGAAGGCCAGGGAAGACCTCGCGGGCGCGGTGGTCCAGCTCCCTGGGACCCTCTCCCCCGCCTCCCGGCCGCCCCGAGCCGGCTCAGCCGCGCGGCTGCAGTGACACCCAGTGGCGGTGGCGGGAAGTGCAAGCGCCTCTCCCTCGGCTCCCGTTGTTAAGGTCCGCGCCTCTCGAGGTTCCCACTCGTGGTTACGAGCGGGCACCCCCAGGGGAGAAGGCCTCGCTTTGCAGACTGCCCGGCGGGGCACTTCCCCTTCCCCTCCCCCAGTTTCCTCCCCTGCAGTCGCCCGAGCGCTAGGAGATCCTGCAAGGCTTCAGTGCCCGGAAGGGCGGGGCGGGGCGCAGCGGCGGCGCTGGGCTGTGACCCTGAGCAGTTTCACTTCTGGATCCTGCTCGGGGTGTGAAGGGAGAGTACCTGGGCTGGGGGAGGAGGGGGGACACACGGCTCGCCGAGGTCCAGCGCTCAGGACCCCGAGTAAAGGATGGGTTTTTACTCCTGGGGTGTCACGCGACCCACGCCTTCCTTCATTTTCCGTCCCCCCTCCCCGCCCCATGGGTTACACTCCGCTGTCCCCGGAGCTACCGCTCCTCCCCAGCAGCAGCCGCCTCCGCGGGGGCTGCCGACCCCCGGAGAGGCCCCGAGCGGCGTGGGCGGCAGGAGGAGCGAGCTGTGAAGCCGCAGGCAGGGGGTTAGGCTGCGGGCTGCTGAGACGCCGAGCTGTTTCTCAGAAGTGCCGCTGCCCCTCCCCTCACACACCCCTCAACTCCCACCGCGCACCGCACTCCTTCCCCCCCTCCACCCGGCCTTCTCTTTCCTCTCCCAGGCACCCCCAACCAGGGAATCTGGCGTCTGAGTCCACGAAGAGCGAAGAGGACGTCCTGACAGAGGACAGGGGCCCGGGGCTCAGACCCAACCTCACTGCCCATATTCAGAGTCTCCCACCCTTCCACTGTCCGTCCCTGTCCCCACTCCCCACCCCCAGCTTGTGGGCCGGGATTGGAATTTTATAGAACGGTTTTCTACGACCACTTGGGAAAATCATAGGCCGCCATCACCCTGGCTTCAGCGCCCCACCTCCCTCCCAAAGAGGGAAGGAAGAGGGGACAGAACCTTCTTTCTCTCCTATTCTTGTTTCTGGATGATGGGAAAGGTCTGGCTGGAGCAGTGGGGTTGAGGCCAGGCTGTCTCTGGTGGAAAGAACTTCAGAAATCCCTGACTCCAGGGAAAAAATCAAGGCGCAGAGAGGGAAAGCAGAGTGCCCAGGGTCACCCAGAGAGTGGCAGGGCTGGGACTGGCACCCAGGAGTCCAAGTACTCAGCTGGAGTCTGCACAAGGCCAGCATTTGCTTTACGGAGACTACAGAGCTTTGCTGGATTCACTGACTCTGCCTGTTTTCCCCCAATGCAGACAGACAGACAGACACACACACACACACACACACACACAGGAGTCTAAGGGAGGGCAGATAAGGTTTGTGAGAGGGAGGTGGAGGTGCTGAGAATGTGATTCCAGTGGGGGCAACACAGGGACTGAGACAACGGAAGGATGAGCCTGGGGGAGGAGGCGGCATCTGCCCCCCTAGTTCCCATCCACCCCCGGGGCTGTGGTTTATTTGACTAGGCAGTTCTTCTGGGCCAGGGGGCCTGGGGGGCTGGGGGTTGAGGGGAAAGGCGAGGTGATGGGAAAAGGCTGCTCTGGGGCTTCCTGCCCCCTCAGTCCTGGGGAAGGGGGGCAATTTACATCACCCGCAGGCCCTCTAACCTCCATTCTTTCCACTGCAGGCTCTTTCCCTGGGTATGTTCCTGTTATTCTGGGGGAAGCTCTGTTATTTGGGGGGAAGGGAGGCAGCTGCCTACTTCACAGGTCAAGACAGAGTTAAAAACAAAACCGCAGCAAATTCAACACCCCGTGTCCTTCAGGGACTTTCCATGACACCTTCCTTCCCCCCTCTCCCCCAAGCCAGGGAGTACCTCCCCAGAGGGCCTCCCCACCCCAGGTGCAGTGGCTTTTGGCTTTTATGCAAACAACTGTCTGACCGGGAATGCTCTGCAGCCCGACCTTGTGTCTGTCCTGGCTGCAGGACCTCCTCTACCAGTCCTCAGCGTTCCCGGCCTTCCCAGAACCCCCCCCCCCCCCGCCCCCCGCCACTCTTCCTCAGACTCTGGATTCTAGGAGATGGGAGGGAGGGAAGGGAGCTAGGTCTTGTCCCCCTGCCTGCCCTCGGGTGGAAGTTGCCTGCAGGTGGAGGTTTGCAGCGCAGCCTGGGTGAATGGCCTGCTTGTGTTGAGGGATGGGGGAGGAGGAGGGTGCAGGTGTAGGGAGGCCTCCAACGCCAGCCCCACCCCCACCCCCAAAGCATCCACTTAGTTGCCAAGAACTAGTAAAGGAAGCTATCGTCAAGCTGGAAGCCCATTCAGCCCCAATCCCAGACCCAGCCAGCTGCCGAGCTCTCTCCTCAGCAGAGGAGTCTCCCTGCTTCCCTCTTTTCTGAGCTGCTTCTGCTTTGGGAAGGGAGGGAGGATGGGGAAGGCCACAGACCATCCTCTCCAAGGCTGAAAATCAGCTCCTGAGGGGCTATTTTCGAATGTATTTAATGCTCCAGTACACAGGCAGGCTGCAGAGCCATTCCTCTCTCCCTGGCCTTAGCGCTGAGACTGGAAAACCTGCTGGAGAGTCTCAGGGCCGTCTAGTGGTGCTGAAGGGAGGGATCGTGCTGAAGACAGAGCCAGTGAAAGCTGCCACCGACCTAGCCCCGCATCTGCTAGACCCTAACTTCAGGAACGTCTTCCTCCTGCCTCTTCCACAGAGGAGGGGAAAGGTAAGGTGTTCTGGATGAGGCTAAGCAGAAGGCCAGACCACCCCCCACACTCTTTTCCGACCTCTTCTGAGAGAGAACAGAGGATATCAAGACAGGAAGAGAGCCACGTGATCCCGATGCCATTCTCCTAGGAGTTCCCCCCAGCGCCTGAGGCTTGGGCCTCCAAGTATCTACAGACTACATTCCAATGTGGCCCAGTTCACCTGCAAGTTGAGTTTCCCAGTGTGGATGTTTCTGAGACCCCAGAGATGGAAAAATCAGGACTTGCCTATCTTTCAGGAAGGATCCCAGCTGGGAGGGAGGCGGGCTGGTGTCTTGGAACTGGGAGACACCGTGCCAAACCTGTCGAGCTTGTCACGTCCAGGCCCCGACCTCCTCAGATCCCCTTAGTGAACTAAGGGCCAGTGGAACCAGAACCCGACCATGGGGACATGGGGGCCAGCGGCAGGATACCAACGGCAGGTTCGGCAAGGCATCAGGCAAGATGTTTTATTTCAATGATAATTCTCTTTATCTAGGTATCTGAACTTTAAGAAAGAGCCAGAGGGGCTAAATTAAGAAACTATTCCGAGGGGCAGAATTAATTCCATTTTCTGACAGCAGCAACGACAAATGATAGGCATGCACAATGACTAATTTTAAACACACCAGTATTTTTTTTTTTATTTTTCAGTGTAAAAATCAAACATAACAAAGAAACTTTGAAAACTATCAGCAGGGTTGTTTGTGATGCGGGAATGCATTCATTACGGTTCTGGCAAGGTTAGCATTGCTACATTTCAGAAGCTGCTTCTTTACACAGTCTTTACAGAGGAGTAGGGCACTACAGGGCTCCAAGGGGTCAGACTCCAGGTAAAATCCGAGAGGAGTCAAGAGAGAAGGTCACTGCTGGGCAGGGAGGGCATTTCTGAGAAACCCAGATGAGCGTGCTGTGAGCACAGGCTGTGTCAAAACCACTAGGCAAGTTCTCTCTCCCTCACTCCTGGTGGGAAGGCCACCCTGAGCCCCAAACCATGTTCCCTTCTCTGCGCCGCCCCCGCCCCCTCATTCTGCAGACAAGGGTCATCCACAGACCACACGTGTGTTGGCTTTGGCAACCAGAAATTTAAAATAAACTATGGTTTTTCCAGTAGCCAAAATGATCCCTCACCAAAGCTCACAGACTGAGAACCTGAGCATGCAAAACCACAGTCTGGGTGAAGGGATGTCTGCTTTTCAAATGACCTGCTAATTCTTTGCAACCCACAGTAATTTGGTTTCTGTGAACCCACAGAAGCAGGCCCACCGAAAAGGACCTTGTCTGCTAACCTGGAAAAGTCCTTGTGTAAATGAGTCATTGGCAATGGGATCAGTCATTTTTAAGGCTGCCCCATTTTCCTAACATGTCAAAATGTCTGTTCTCAGTCTTTTTAGGAGAGGGTGAAGCAAAGCTGCACCCATATTCAGAAAATGAACTAGGCCCCCCAGATGCATGGCATGGGCTTGGGAGAAGGCGGGTGGCATCATGGGACTGCTCTCCAGGCTGCTAGAGTGGGGTGGATGGAGAGATGGACAGTGAGAACCATTTGAGGAAACTCTAAATTGCTTGAAGAATTAATGGTTGAGGGCTCGTAAGACGGTGAGGGAGCAAAGCTAGGCTACTTCCCTGGCTTCAAAGCCATGAAGTATCTGTACTATGTGGTTCACAAACATTGGTTCTAAGGCTCGGCATATTCTTTACTCTTAGGCATTAAAACAACATGAAGGAAACATGTGTGTTAGAGATCAGTTGCCTTCATTGGCAAGTGAATTACTATCATGGTCCTAGTATGGTCTTTGAATATTTTCCATGTCTTTAAATCCAGATACAGTACATATAGTGGAAAATTTGCAACCATCCAACAAAATCTGCCCCCACGCACACAAAAAACAAGAGTAACTTTACCTAATAGACAAAATTACATGAAACCTCACAACGTCCTTGGGAGGTAGATATTGTTATGTCCTTACATTTTTAAAAATCAAAACATTAACATTCCAGTTTCAAATAACAATATCAGCCTATAAGACACTCCAATATTGTAATATTCAGAGGAAACTTGCCTCCAGCTTCTTCAAAGACCTGTTTCTCATGTTTTTTTTTTAATTTTTAAAAATTCATTATTTATTTATAAATTTATTTATTTTATTTATTTATTTTTGGCTGCATTGGGTCTTCGTTGCTGCGTGCGGGCTTCCTCTAGTTGCAGCGAGTGGGGGCTACTCTTCCTTGTGGTGCGCAGGCTTCTCATTGCAGTGGCTTCTCTTGTTGTGGAACACGGGCTGTAGGCGCACGGGCTTTGGTAGTTGTGGCACGCAGGCTCAGTAGTTGTGGCGTACGGACTCAGTAGTTGTGGCACATGGGCTTAGTTGCTCTGCGGCATGTGGGATCTTCCCGGACCAGGGCTCAAGCCCATGTCCCCTGCATTGGCAGGCGGATCCTCAATGACTGTGCCACCAGGGAAGCCCCTGTTTCTCATGTTGCTGGCATGATGTGGGACACGCTATATACAGCTTGGGTAAACAGAGGTACAGTCTTGTGCTATGAGCTCATACAAGTCGAAAGCCTACACCTCTCTTCTAGGCTCTTCCAAGTCCACAGTCTCCGACCCTGGGTTCACTCATTCTCAGAACTGTTCAGTCTGTTAGGCTTAGAGAACAGAGTCCTTTCCCTGGGATGACCCAGGTTTAGCATTTGGTTTCAGGTCAAAATTGTCCTCTTTACAGGCACTTAAATCCCAAATCATTCTGCTTTTCTGAACTCTGCCTATAGAGATTCTCTGAACTATACTTTCTGTCTGAGCACAAAAATAGCTCCTAATTCTTTAAAAGATAAGAGAGATCACTGTGTATCTCTTGTCTTCTGCACAGCCTAATTCTATTTTCTAGGACAGAAGTTTCATCACTCCACTTTCTTTTCTCTTCTTGAGCTCAAACTCCTAATTCTGAGTCTTTGTCAAAGAGCCGGGGCACTCTGAGAACTCAAACCTTAAGTATCACAGAGTTTCCAAATCTCCACTAGAGACCAACGTACCTACTCGTAGTGGAGTACACTTTAAAGTTAGGACTTCAAACACTAAACATTTAACATTTCCATTACAGTCTTACTGGCTGTCCTGGGATATATATCAGAAGTACTGCTTTTCCCCTGAAAACATTCTAAATCTCACATGTAGCAGGAGGAAAAAAAGCAGAGGGTAAGAAAAGTGATACAGAGGCTACCTGGAAAACATGTTATGTTGACGTGAGATTTGTTAATAACACAGCGTTTCAACTGAGTAAAATTTTGTGTTTTTAAACATTTATCTTTGCAAAAGAAATCTGAGGTTGCTTTACTTCTGGGTCTGGCAAGATGTTAAGCCTTGCATTTAAAAGGTGAGACATTTTGTCGCTGGCGAGGTCAGAAGCTGAGTCAGGAACAGTTCAGAACGGGTAACAAGGCATCTGATTAGCTAGCTTCTCTGTGTCAAGGCTAATACATCTTTTTGGGAGAATGACTTAGGGAATCTAAAGCCTGGTGGATTTATTAACATCTCTCTTTTTCCTGGTGGTGTTGGTGGAGGGTAATGGGGGAGACACCTCTGTTTGGTTCTCTGCCAGGAGGAACACCTATGCAACAATTCAAAGAGCGATAAGGAACATTTGGAGAGCCAGCTCTCGGCCTTTTCCACCCTCATCCCAATTCTGCCACCTTGGCTGTAAGGGAACTTTTCACGGGTTTGGTTGTTCCTCAGGTTTTGATCTCCTGGGTGTGTGGTGGGGGCCTGGCTAATAAGAGGGTTGGTGGGAAATGGAGAGAGAAGACCTATGAGGCTCACGTTCACAGGGACTCTGGCTGAGAAAGGAAACGTGCTGTCGGAAGGGGCCAGGGGACCTCACCGTCCAGCAGGGTCAGATGTGAATCCTCCTCGGTCCTCCTTTCTAGGCATCTTGCTAAGGTTCTCCTTTACCTTCTTTCCCACCCCCAGCAAGGGGGTTAAGTAGAATAAGGATTGCCTGCAGAAGTAAGTGTTTACCTGTGTTGTGGGAACCACTACATACCACCTGTTTCAACTTCAAGATTTAAGAATGTGGAGTTTCCACATATACATTTTCTCTGGACTTGACATGTCCCAGTCCAGGCTCAGAATGCGACAACGAAAGTGCAGCCTGTGTGAGTGGTCGCCCCACTCAGAAAACTGACCTCAGAAGAATGGAAATCATTCAGAAAATCCATTACTCACAGAGAAAAGGAGGGTTATACTTACAGAGTTCCCAGGTTGGTGGGATGGGCCTTAGTTTCACTATTTTAAGGTGCAGGAGTTGGTCTCTTCACTAAAGACTTTCCCACTAATCTGGTAGACACGCTTGCTTTCCCTAGCTTTCTCTCCTACTAATCCTTGCTTCCAAACGCTCTTTCTTTTGTCCCCTGAAGAGTCAACATGATGTGTGATATTTCAAGAATATAATAAGCAGCTCTTCTTTCACAATGGGTATAAGCAACGTGGTGTAGCTTGGAGTCCAGGATTACGGAAACACAGTGAGGTACTGAAGACTACACACCGAAATACATCTAGTCTTTTAGCTGAAATCTCAAACGTGTTGGGACTGTTGCCATGGAATTTCACAAGATCTTTTTTCCTGAGACAGACGCCATGCTACAAAGAAGGATAAACCATTTGTGCAGTCTGTGGTGGAACATTTTAATTACTGGCAGCACATAAACGAGTTGAGTTTGAGCCTAATGCATAAAGCCCTTTCGAAATATCAAGGCAGATACATAAAACGCTAATCCACCAGGAATTGTGGATTCTTGGCTCCGGTAGAAATGTTCACACAGCTGACTCTTAATTTGTAAACAGGCTCCATGAAGTTGTTCCTGGAAGCGAATTTATTTTCCCTAACATAGGTTCTTTAAAAGGAGAAAAAAGAAAAAAAAAAGGCTTTGGCAAGCAGCTGCAGGTGCCCGTTTGTGTGTACACTCTGGGGCAAGATCAAAATCCCTTCCTGTTTTTTGTTCCTCTCCACCATCCTCTTCACACCACAACTCAGTGGTTAAAGGAAAAACTTAACAATACTTCCATTTTCACACCAAAGAAATGTGAAACGTATATTCATATACATACTCTTCTGCTTAATACCCATACATTAAGAGGTTTAAAAAAATAATTGTGGTTCCTGCATAATCACATAAATTTAAAGCTGTAAAGGACCTTCGAGAACATCTGAATCCAATTCCTAGTTCTATGGTTGAGGAAACTTAGTTTTAAGAGTTAAGTGATTTGCCCAAAGTCATTTGGCTAAGTAGTGGCAAATATGGAATCAGCAGATTTTGTGACCCTCATTCCAGTGCTACTTTTACTTTTTATTTTTTATTTTTATTTTTTTATTTTTTTTTGCGTTACGCGGGCCTCTCCCGTTGCGGAGCACAGGCTCCGGACACACAGGCTCAGCGGCCATGGCTCACGGGCCCAGCCGCTCCGCGGCATGTGGGATCCTCCCAGACCGGGGCACGAACCCGTGTCCCCTGCATCGGCAGGCGGACTCTCAACCACTGCGCCACCAGGGAAGCCCTACTTTTACAATTATTACATCACTTTTCCTTGATAGCATGTCTCCCATAATTAATGATAAAGATGACCGACACATCTGCAGAACCGAGGTCAGACTTTCGGGAATCCTTGTGGAATACAACAGCTCCATTTAAAATGGGGGTTGGGAAACCACCCCCCCCACTCCGACCTGCCTGATCGAGGATATCCTGCCAGCAGAGGTGCTCCCCTCTCACTCCATCCTGAAGTTCAGCTCTGATCCTGGTCATCCTCGGTTCCTTTCCTGTGGGGAGGAGGAGGCTAAGTCATACTTTCAGGATTCTTTGGTATTTTTTTGGTCAAAAAATCATTGGCCAGTGTGCTTTGGGTTTGTCCACCAATATTCCATGAAGGAGATGAAAAACTTTCAGGTGGTTGTTCCTCCTTCCCTCCATCCCTGGGTGCTGCTGCTAAACAACTCCCCGCCTCAGAACCAAGCCTGCCACTCAAGATAGCAGGAAATGGATGCCATCACCCACGGTGGACAACCTCCTGGAGTTCCCATGACAGTCTATACTGAAGCCATTAGTTCTTCTGAGAGACAGTTTCTCCTGTGCATGAATGGTTTGACTCAAAGCAGCTTTTAATTGGAGACGGGAGGGTAAAGAGTAGAAGCAGAAGTACCATCAGAAAACTTGGGTTATTTTTGCTTGTGTGATAAGAAGTGGATCTGATGCTTGGAGACTAGGGGCTTCAGTTATTGGTAACATTTTATGGCTGTTCTCTTCCTTATTGTTAGACTATAATTTGCGATGGAAGGTTTATATCCTAACCCTTTAGTCTTGTGTGAAGTGCAGAAGGGCAAGCCTTCCCAGCAAGGTCAGCTGGCCAGCAGTTCTTCTCTGTGGACCTGGGCATACGGCTAAAAGTCTTTTTCCACATGTGGCTGATGTATCTCAGAAACAATGTCTCATGCAGCACAACCAGGGGACTCTTCTGGTTGGCAACAGACTCCAAAGAATGCCTGTCTATTGCTGCAAAAGACAATGACCAAATGCTTCATTGGCTTTTAAATATCATAAAATTCAAGTCCCTGATGGGAAAACAAAGGTTTCACAAAAGTAGTAACATGATATATCTGCAAACAATTTCTGAATGGGGACAGCATTTCTCTGCTGCCCATGTGAACGTGATCCTTTGGACACTAAAATGGCATGAAAAGGGGATTGGAACTGAGTTTGTTTTGAGAGTGATTTGTTAGGCGAGGGGTATTATCAGCTTTTAAAAATGATGTTGAATGCTCAGGTGCAAATCATCTCTGGGCCCAGATCTTCACTTCAGCATGGCTCTGTGCTCTCCTCTGGCTATGTGAGATGAGAACTCATAGCGATCGTGGCTTCGATAGCCACACATGTTACACTCAAAAGGGTCACGAAAGCCGTGGCAACCCATGTGAATAGTGAACATCACGTAATCCAGGAAGAGGACTCGACAGTGGTCACACCGGTACACATCCATCACCTCCCCTTCTTTGTTGATCACTTTGATGGAGTCTCTTGGGCAGATGGGTGGGGGCTTGAGGAGTTCATAAGAGCGGGGGACCTCCTTCAGAAGTGGCATCCCATTGCGGGCCCGAGAAGGGACCATGTGATTTTGCTGGTAGATGTGATTCTGGCGTTCCTCATGGTTGCTGTCAGTGTCCGTGGAGTCGTGGCCACTGTTGTTGGGGGAGAGGCCTCTTTCAGAAGGCAGGCTCTTCTCTGGCAGCTGGACGTTCTTCTTTTCCAGGTCCTGGGGGGCACCGTTCGGCATCTCGGCACGGGTGAGGGCTATGGGGTACATGCTGCTGATAACTGGGACCATCTCTGAGGTGGGAGCAGGCGGTGTCTGGACCAAGGGGCGCAGGGCTTCGGCACCAAGATAGCTGATGGCGTTATTGATGGCCTGGTCCATCATTCGGGTCTGGATCATCTCACTCTCTTTCTCATACACATAGCTGGGATTATAGCTGACGTCAAAGCAGTGGCGCTTCTCACCTAGAACAAGGGAAGGAAAGAGTGACAAAAGGAACAACACAAAGGCAGAGAGTTTGTAAAATTATTTTCTGGAGTCCTTGAAAAGTGAGGAAGGACAAGTGGCCTGTTCAAGAACACTCAGCCCAGGCAGAATGGTCCCACACGGGTGTTGAAGCCTCAGGGGACAGTGATTGACAGCACATGCTTGGACAGTCAAAATACCTGAAACCAGCAGGCAAAAGGGAGAGTCAGAGATGTCACTAAGTTGAGGCTACAATGTGAGTTGTTTCCACTGCTCATGTCAGAAGGGAACCCTGGAGAAAAGAAGCAAGAGAACACCAGGAGGGGGCTTAAGAGGGGGCAAGGCAGCTGACAGTGTGCAGGAGCATGGGGACCTCTGCACTTCTATTGTCCATGAACTCTGAAGACGCAGTCAATCCCCGAACTCTTAGTTTGCTTGTCCTTTTCTGCTTGTAATACTAGGGAGCCGGGGGCCGGAAGTGCTGCAAAAAGTGGGGATGCTCTGGCCTCGGCAGCTTTTTAAATAGCTGCAGAGGCAGAAAAAATAGCCCCCCAAACTCCAACTTACCACTTCCCAGACACGTCAGTTATCAGACTGACTGAGATTTAAATAAAAGAGCTTCAAATGTAGAGAGTTTTAGAAAAGGCTTTCTCTTGATGAAAGATCATCATGATCTTCACCCTCTTCATAAAGTGTGTTATTCTTCTTTTGCTTGAAAAGATGTATCATTGATACATGTGTGATCATTAGTACTTATCTCACACTTAACTGAAAAATTTACTTGTGGTCACCCTCTCCTACTTCTCATGTCAAACTGCTGAGAAATTTTGAAAACAGAGTTTAGCCACCTTCAGGGCGTGTGGGTGTTGTGTGTTAGAAAACAGAGGCTCTCTGGCCACAGGGAAGGCAGGAGCGGGATCTTCAATGATGGCAGATGTGCTCAATGGTGAGTGGCTGGTAGAGGCAAGAGAAAGCGGGGAAGATGTGTCAAGGGCTGGAGGTGAGGCTAACATTATTGCTGATGCTTTTTCATTCTGTAGACATTGATTCTGAGAGATTTGCTAAACCGTATCCTCTCTTCCCTAACATTTCCTAGGCATGTTGTGGTTCCAGAACGTATCACTGCCATACAGTAAAGGCTTCGGGGAAGACAAAACAGAAGAAAACAAAAAGGATTGGAAGAACCAGTTTCTGTTCTTGAGGTATCTCCAACCTAGTGGGAGAGAAATAAGACTTGGCTAGATGGAATTGGAGAAAAATAAATGCTAAAAGTTGAGAAAGGGCTGCCTTGCTCTATGGAAGCTTTTGATTTTATTTTAAATGCCATGTTTGAGGCGTTTAAGCAGGGAGGGTGACGTGTCTTCTGTAAAAAGAATTAAAAGGGAAGGGCAGGGTGGTTTGTAAATATACAAACTGTATATTTAAGTGTTATGGGAACGCAAAAAATTCAGGAGTACTTGTGGAAGGGAAAACATTCTTGGAAAACCTAAATTTTGAGAAGGGTCTTGATGAACTGGTAGGACTTAGATTTTCAGAGACGTAGAAGAGATATCCTAATTGAGGGATGAGCATGAATCAAGACAGACACGTGGGACCGTCCAAGACATGGGCTGGGAGGGGTAAGAGAGTCTGGTTAGAGCAAAATATCAAGAAGTGTGGAAGAAAATATTTCTCAAACTTCACTCAGCCCTCCACATTCCGCAATATTCATACCCCAGGGTGGTGTGGTGGTTGAGAGCACGAACTCTAGAGTCAGATGGTGTGGATTCGATGCTGCCTCATCATGACTAGTTGTGTGACCTTGGGTAAGTTACTTAACCTGTCTATGGCTCCATGTCCTCACGTAAAATGGGGGTAATAATTGTACCTACCTCAATTGGTAAGCGCTTAGAACAGTGCCTGGCACATAGAAAGCACTTGGTAAATGTTAGGGTTTTTAATTTTGTTTGAATCAGCTCGCATTTCCTTCCTTTCTTTTTTTGCTGAAGAAATTTGTTTTTTTAAGGAAACTTTATATCACTAACATAAACAGAAAACCAGAATCACTTGCCACAAATATAAGGTAACCATGAAAAATAAAGACAATTAAATTAAAGTTTGATCAGATACTGTAAGTACCTGGAGACAAAGATCCCCTCTCTCTTTGCTAAAAATAGAGATTACCAAGTGTGTGATTAGTGTTGAAGACAATTAACATCTAATTACGTCTAAATCTTTCTCCTTGGTATAATCAGGAAGATTGAAAGAGAACTAAAAAGAAAATAACTTTCTTGCCATGTGGATCAAGGTTTTCAAATGCTCTGTGAGCCTCCTGGCACTTTGCCTCCAACATTTTAGGAGATACTGAAAAAAGATAACACGTGGTGGGACCAAATGATGGACATTCTGAATAACCAACCGTAGGGTTTAGATTTGGACAAACGGCAAACCTCTACAAACCGCATTGAGCAAGAGATGCTTGTGGTCAAAATGTTATTTTCAGGATATTAATGTAACAGCAATGTGTAAGATGGACCAGAACAGTGAGAAACTGGAGACAAGAAGACCTGCTAAAAGATCCAATCTAATCAGATAGATTTGTCCTGTATCCCCACTACCTTAAGGCCAACCTGACAGTTTCCAGACAAATACCTGAGAGAAAAAATATGCACAGAAAATCACCGTACCTTGGCAACTCAATAAAAAGGAACAGAAACGTAGACCTTTGCCAAAGTAATCAACGGTTCTTCTTTTCAACTGCCAGATTGGATAAGTCTCTGATTAGAGCTGTTTGGAAGAACGAGACTGAGGACATGAAAGCTGTCTAAAGTCACAAATATTCATTCCCCTGAAAGTGACACAGAAGTGATGAACTTTGTTCCCTGGCCTTTTCAAGGTTACTGATGATTTTCCAGTGTGGTTGGCTCTACTCAGTTCCCCAAATACCGGGGGTCCCTGGAAATCTTTTTAATCTTTTCGCCTAACAGAGAGACTCCAGAAAGCTTCCGAGGTGGGGCAGGCACATCACAAGCTCTGCTTTTCTCTCTTCTCCCAAGAGTTGGTTTTACTTAGCTAGGCCTACAATTTCATAATCTATCCACCTGCAGCACATGTCAGAAAACAGCTGAGTGCTGAAGTCGTAAGAGGCAAAACAATAAGAGGAAAATCAACCCCTGGATGAGTGGAAATATGTGACTGAGTTCTGTGGTTAACGCAGACCACTGTTCATTGTTAAGAAGATGGGAGAGCCTCAGATCTTCACGTGCACGCAACCTGCACTCATCAGGTCCCCTCATCTCCGAGTTACGGTAACTTGATTAGTGCAGATGACTATCAGTCACCTGTAGACACGATGACTCAATGTGTGTGAAACTCAGAAGGGGTAAGCTACAGTAATTGAAAAGCCAACAGCTCACGTTTCTTTAGTAATACACTCATAAGAAAGGTTACTCAAACCACAAAAGTGTAACTGCTCCCAAACCTGCACAGAGCTTCTAGTCCAGCTTCTAGTCAAAATCGTACCACACACGTCTGAGTGATTAATGAGAGAAGCTTCGGGCTGAATTAGAGGTTTTCTTCCAATGATAATACAAATGGCGACAACAGGTCCTAAGTTTAGAAACCAAGGCTACTTGGTTGGGCCGTTCCCTACCTGTGATCCCTTTTAAAGGTGTCCATCCCTACCATCTGGGCTTTGGTAACTCTGAACTGAGCAACTGCCTGACCTGAATTGCTGCAATGTGGTGAGGGCATATGGTTGTTGGCTTCTAAGTGCCAACTTGAAAGTACAGAATCATAGCCTAAAGCTAAAAGGGACCTTAGCTGAGCATGTGGATTTAGACCTCTGCCTTTGGGATGGAGGGACAAGATCCACTACTCTAACCTGTTTACTTCTCTACTTCACAGTACCGAGCACTGTGCCTTATATATAATACCAAGAAGAATAGCTACTATTTATTGAGCCACTACTATATACCCAGTGCTGTCCTAGGTACTTTGCATATTGTCTCACTTTACCTAAGATGAATTATCATCTCTTAGTCAGACGAAGGACCTAAAGCACAAACGGGTTGATTAACTTGCTCAGGTTGCTCAGCTGGTAAATGGAGAACCAGGATGTGATCCAAGGGCCCATATACCTCAGGATATGGTTGAGCATTAACTGCTGTTTCCTGGCTGCTACCTCGCCCATGGCTGCACAACCCCACCACTAGCAATGACTTCAGATTCTCTGCTGGGATGGTTCCCATAGGCAGTAGAAACGCAACTGTGCTTTGTTGCATATGGACCAGTAGCATGCATTCAAGAAATTTCTGTGATGAACAGAGTTGTCATGATGTCCATAAAGTGCTTAACAGAGTACTGGCACATGTAAGCACTCAATAAGTGGTAGATCTATTATTATTATTATTGTCATTATTATTGTTATTTGCCTCACACCATGTTAAGTGTTTTGAAGAATACAAACTTCATTGCAATCCAGGAGGAGATGTAGTATGTACACAATTTCATTACAAATTAGTATCCTTAATACTATGTGGTGGAACAAAGTATAGAGTAGCCAAGAGAGTGGAGAGAGAAAAATATGGACCATGTCTCAAATATGCCACGTAACATGGGACAAATATTAATCTATCCTCTCCTCTAAAGTCTCCTTGAAATCTGAGGTGGTAGTAGTGGTGGTGGTGGGGACAGTTACACACATCACAAAAAGCAGACTGTTAAACTCGCCTTGAGTGCAGAGGGAGAACAGAGAAGAGAGAGAATTCAGGCACGTATGGGAATGTAGACCACGTGGAGGTTTAGGGGGCAGATGGGAGGGAGGGCATTCCAGACAGTGAGCATGGAAAGAAGGATTACAAAGAAGTGGGAGTAGTTCATTATTGGCTGAATTAAAAGATTAGTCGGCTGAAATGATACATTCAGAAAAGATAACTTAGAGACAGATTGTGAGAGACTCAGAACGCCTGGGTGGTTTGGATTTTATTCTGATGGGGAGCCATTGAAAGATTTTTTGAAGAGGAGGAGAAATTATTTGAACATTAGAAAAATAACAATTCTGAGGTTACAGTCATCATGATGGGATAATGTGAAATACTGGGGTTTTCTTTAAGCCTTTAAATTTCTTCAAGTCATTTAACTGTATCTGCTGATGCCTTCATACAATTTCCCATGTATCATCGATTACTCGTACTCCAAGCACATATCCTCCCCCCAAAAAAGGGCAGGTAATCAGGGTAAATGGAATATCTGATGATGACAATGGCTCTGATCTCAATCTAAATGAGACTGAAGTGGCTATAACACCTCTTCCAGGAGGAGGAAGGCAGAGGGTAGGAAGCCACAGAACGAGAAGCAGGAAGGAGGAGAGAGAACAGAGAGAGCCATGGGGGTGGCAGAGAGGAAAACTGAGCTGGAAACCACATTTTGTTGCTGCAGAAGCCTTTGTCCTCTGTGAGTCACCGTGAAGTGCTATTTGGTTGTCATCTGCCCTGATGGAGTCACCACAGATCTTTTCTCAAGAAAAAAACACACCCTTAAGAGAGAATGACTGCCCTTCTTCAAGGCTTTTTCTTCCACCAGCTTTCAATGACTAGACCCTTCCCTTTCCAAAGCTCCTGTGTAGCACACATGACATGCACTGCTCTGGGTGACTTTCTGGGGGAGGAGGGCCTTGGACTGCAGCACTTTATAGACCCAGGCTCTGGCCCTGCTCTGTCACCTACTAGCTGCATCTCTCCATCTTTCCCTTCCCCCTTCCCTCCTTAGTAAAAGAACTTCACTGGGTGGTTCCTAATATCCCTTCAAGCTCAAAAACGTTATGACTTTTGATGCTTATAGGATTAGGGATTTTGGCCCTTTGGGAAGGGATGGGAGAAGATACTTTTTGCTTTTAGAAACAGGTATTAAAACTGCTTCCTGTTGCTCTGTTAACCAAAGCAGACAATTTCTCATTAGTTACTTCACAGGGAGAACCGACAGTGTTTGCTGAAGTGTCAAAACCTCACAACATGTTTACCGGGGGGGTGAGCGAGATCTTTTTTCATGTTCTTTTCAACATGAAAACTTCCTTTAATAAAGTAATACATGAAATTAAAAAAAATAGGGAGATGCTATGGTAACCACTTTGGTCTAAATAACACATCTGTTTTTGGAGAAAGAATGAAAATCAGAGAAAGAAATATGCAGAAATGTAGTCATTTTCCTCCTCCCTTCAGGAGAGAAATCTGGCCTCTATTTTGAGCCAAGTATTTGAAGATGGCCTAGTTAGAAGCATAGTCAAGCAAGTTTGTAACAGGAGAATAAGATTCAGAAAAAAGACAATCCCTAAAGGGCTTAGGTGCTAAAAGTAAGGTCTTCTTGTCCTTTGGAAAGAACAACTAAAAAGAATTATTTTGATGACGTAAAGGTGCTGATTTCTAATGAATGTGTGTCAGTTTATTTCCTATTTTATAGAAAGTGATTCAAAATTTCTTGGAGAACTAGGAAAAAAGAGATTTCATTTTTCTCCTACTCTTCAACAGAGGCATGTTTTTGTGTTTCTAAATGCATTTAGACTTAATCCAATCCATCCCTCGTCCTCAGTTCATCTCTAATGGATGAAAAATGCTATCTACTGGTAATTATCTCAAGCCTGTTAGGAAAGTAACAGGCTGACCTGATGGTATAATTTCACCTTTACCCTCATAGTTCAAGAGGTCAGGGAAGCCAAGCTGTGCAACTGTCAACAAGGATTAAAGGGAGTGACTCATTCTTCCTTCACACTTTACCCATTGCCATTTCCCTGGCAGCTGAATCTTTTCAGAAAATGATGCCTTGGAAAGGAAATATAGGAGAGAGAAGAGAAGGAGGGGAGACATTAGCCCCATATGTTTTATATCACTTCATCCCATATACTGCACAGTGTCATAATGTTCCTTTATTTTCCCCTTGATATTACTATTTTCTATCAAAAGGTGGATTCAGTTAAATGATTGAAGGGGTTTCTTTTAGTTTTGAAAAAATCTCTTAAGGTTCAGGGAATAAGCTAATGCTAGAGGATTAGAACAGTGCTCAGGAACAAGAATATCACGTACATGGCAGGAGCTCTGTAACCATTTGCATGATAAATGAATGGACGAAAGAGCAAATGAATAAGTAGTAATGTACTAAGTAAAATACATAAATGTTGAACTAATGCAGCTGTTTTATAGATTCTCAGATTAAATGACATCTTCCTAAAAAAAAACCTCCTAAATTATATACCATGGTTTATAACATAAAATAACATACCATATCTGTACAACCTTGAGAAAAAAGTTATCTGAAGTTATACATATAGGTTTATAAACAAAAAGTGGTGCTCATTATTGCTGCCTTTTATAATTCATCTTGCAGACTTACAGAATGGTAGAGCTGCGAGGGACCTTCTCGATCACTTCATCACCTGTTCGGTCTACTCATTTCACAGGTGAGTAAACAGAGGCCCAGAAAGGTTACGTGATTTGTCTAAACATACACAGTTAAGAAATGACTGAACTGGAATCACAACCTCAGTCTTTTGGCTTCTAATCCAGTGCTCTTCCTACTGCACTTTACCACAATTTATAAAAAAAACAAAAATTCCCCCAGCTATTCAGGGCCCCAAAGTCCAGAAGTTGCTACCTCAGCTCAAATCAAGAGCTAACTCTACTGGGTTTCCTGATTCCATCTCAGAGAGAACATGATGGTTCAGAAGATGACAGAGATCAGTACCTACAAGATCAGCACCTCTCCTGAGTCTGGAAATGAAAGAGTGAAAATCCTCTGGTCACAATGGTAATAAACAAATGGAATGGATCCCCTATGCAATAAGCAAAATGGCATGGACTTGGACATGTGAAACATGTGTTTTTAAACCCATGAAGATACCGAAGCAACTTTTATCTTATTAAGTAGGGCTTTAGCTCAAGGACAGGTTTAGGGCAACTATGTGGACTAAGTACCTTCTCTCATATTTTAGTTCTCTTAGACCAACATGCATTGACCATAACTGGATTGAAATTAAGTCACTTTACATTTTTTTTCTTTCCCATTTCTCCCCATGTTTCTCCCCACCCATATCAGCTGCAGCCATTTCTACAGCCAAAACATCCCCCAAATTAAATTACACTCATGGCATAGAATAACAATCCAAGCTTCCTTTTGTACGCCAGTCAGAACCTCTTCACATAAGTACAGCTCAAAAGAGGTATGAGCAATGCTCTAAGATAACGTCTTGGAATCACAATTGGTCCACTGTGCCTAAACCCCATATGGAAGTCACCACACGCCCCCTGACATTTCTCACCAAGGAGGGGGAAGATGGTAAAGAGGATAGGGTCTCTCTGAAATGAAATTCACCAACTTTAGTCTGACACAGTTTATTCTTAAAGTGACTAAAAGAATACAATAACTTCTCAGTCAAACAACATAAAATAAATAAGTATAAATACCAAGCTAGGAAGACAGGAATAAAGACGCAGACGTAGAGAATGGACTTGAGGACACGGGGAGGGGGAAGGGTAAGCTGGGACGAAGTGAGAGAGTGGCATGGACTTATAAATACTACCAAATGTAAAATAGATAGCTAGTGGGAAGCAGCCGCATAGCACAGGGAGATCAGCTCAGTGCTTTGTGACCACCTAGAGGGGTGGGATAGGGAGGGTGGGAGGGAGACGCAAGAGGGAGGAGATATGGGGATATATGTATTTGTATAGCTGATTCACTTTGTTATAAAGCAGAAACTAACACACCATTGTAAAGTAATTATACTCTAATAAAGATGTTAAAAAAAACAAAAACAAGCTAGGTAGCTTTGAAATATATGGGTTCTTTCAATATATCTCTATAATTCACATAAAATTAAAAAACTAATTAGACCAGAATAAAATTTAACCAGATTTAAAAACCAGGCAGGCACCTGATATCTGTAAAAGCTATTGAAAAGAATAAACACAAAAGGACTGAAGTAAGAAATCAACAGCAGCAGCAAGTAGCTTTGGAAAAACAGACTGACAGGTTTCTAAAATATTACTGGTGTTGAGGGAGGTCTATTTTCGTGTGATAACTATTTTTGTTCAATATCACCGACTTTCAATTTATAGCAAAACCAATACATTCAATTCAGCTGCCTACTTCACAAATACAAATCTATTTAAAATATCATAGTCACATTTATGTAAACATCTGGGAGAATTCAACACAATATTTCTGCCATTTGGCAGTCCTAACACTTTAATGGACATAATTATTTCTTAGCCATCTCATTCTTGCTGTATTTTTTGACAATGTGAAAACCAATGGTATAAAAATTAACTCCAGTAAGACAAATGATTAAATCAAACCTTGTTATTTAAATCTATGCATTCCCAACCACTTTCTCTTAAAACCAATTCTCAATCAAATTCAAGAAAATATGGCAATACATTTTAGGGCATGAAAAAAGTTTGAGCGTGATAAGGGAACCAAGTTGTAAAACATAGTTGCAAAAGATTACAAAAATGCTATCTTGAACATCTTACTGGTATCAATTGCACAAACTCTCCCATGGAACATATGTCATTCGGAATAAAGAGGAAGGAACAGCATTTTTAACACCAACTTCATTTAAGAAATTGGATACCAAATAATCCCATCTTCAGTAGTTAAGATTCTTTAGTTAAAATATTTTATCATTTGCTCTAGTTACCACAATGAATCCTGAAGAGTAAAAGTTGTACAATGGAAAATCAATTACCTTATTTTAACAGAGGTTAAACTAGGAAGGGCCTGTGTAGTAAGCATCCTATGTTATCTCATTCAAACTACCTGCTAACAGCAGCAGGAAAAAGGGTTGTATTCTTACCAATGAATTTCTGAGGCATTGAGCTTTTTCGCTTTGCCACATTGCTTGCTAATCTGTCCAGAACGAGAGCTCTTTCACTTCCCATCTCTGCTTTGATGTGTCTTGCCTCCGCACTTGCTGGTTTGGAAAAATGAAAAAAGAAGAGGGAAAAGAACACGTTGACAAATGGAGAGAAAAAGAAATAAACTGGAAGGAAAAGTGTCAGAGGTCTGATGCAAACTCTGTTGTTACCTGTTATTACTGCTCAGATTCTTGCCTGGGTTACCTGCTGTGGTCAGTGAAGCCAACACCAGGGCACATTCAAATCTTGCAGTCTTATGCCGACATGGGAAAGCCCAACCCATCCCCAACCAGTACCTTCATTAGCAAGAGGAAGTATTAAATAAACAGCCTGGACGTGGTTGGTTGCAAAAAGATAGATAGATGGAGATCTTCTAACCCCCGATCAGCCTTCTTTCTGATTCTGAGTAACTGCATGTGACACCTGCAGACTGATATAATTCTTCTTAACAACTTTGAAAAAAAAAAGGCCGGTGCCCCAGATTTACTGCTATGTTTATGTTAATAGCACTTTTGAAAATAGATACACTTACCCAGACAGCGAGAAATCTACTCAGTGATTTGTGTATTGAAATTCTGAGTGTTTTTTTCTTTTTCTTTTTTTTCCAGCATGCTCCTTTCAGTTCCTGTCTTTTAAATTATATCTTTCTGGTCTCTGCATTATCTGTTTCATATGCTCTTCACATTTCAAAACTGTCTCAGTTAAAATTTCCCTGAGCAACACTTCTGTCTTGAAATTAAAGAACAATTTGTATAATGCATCTTTATTATATTTCTAATGAAAAATGTGAATAAAAACCGCCTAAGAATATGGTCCAATTGTCAATCCACAAATAGACCTTTAAGTGGTATAGGTCTGTTGTTCTCAGACCTGCCTGAACATTAGAATCACCTTAAGAGCATAGAAGACACACATGCCCAGGCCCCCCTTCAGATCAATTAAATCAGGATCTCTGGTGTAGGGGCCTAGGCAACAGCATTTTTTTTTTTTTTTTTTTTTTTTTTTTTTTCGGGGGCCTCTTTTTTTTTTGGCCTTTCCCCTTTCGGGGCACAGGCTCCGGACGCGCAGGCTCAGCAGCCATGGCTCACGGGCCTAGCCGCTCCGCGGCATGTGGGATTTTCCCGGACCGGGGCATGAACCCGCGTCCCCTGCATCGGCAGGCGGACGCTCAACCACTGCGCCACCAGGGAAGCCCCTCTCCAGATGATTTTTAAGATGCTGCAAGAATTGAGAACCGCTAGAAGAATATATAAATAGTGCCAACATCGAATCAACTAAATAGTAAATTGGAATAAATATAGTACAATTTAGTCTGGTACATCAGGCAATACCCAATAAGAGTTTATGTCTGAAGTTCAAAGAGATACCAGCTGCTCTAAATACAAGGCTTTAAATGTTAACACATGATGCTAGCCAAAGCTAGGGATCAGTAAACTTTTTCTGTAAAGGGTCAGATAGATAGTAAGTATTTTAAACTTTGTGGGACATGTACAGTCTCTGTTCCATATTCTTTGGTTCTTCCTTGACCTTTAAAAATGTAAAAACCCCTGTGCACAAATAGGCCGCTGGCTACATTTGGCCTGAGGGTCATAGTTTTGTTCACCCCTGCCCTAAGCAAACATGTCGTGATGCTACCAACATTTCCCTCTGTTTTATCATAAGCATTTCAGGGTGTCCAAGCTAAAATGAAGTATCTGTACATTCCTAATGTCTCTAAGGAAGAAGAAATTGAAAAATCAGCTTAAGTGACTAGAGTAAAAAGCAAGTGATGACTTTTACAGAATGGACTTTTTTCCCCCAAATACATACACAGATTTAGGAATTGTCAGTGCTCATTCTGTAGCTGAAGAGTTTGCTGTGTGAAGAGATTCCGATATACAGAAAAAATGTCACAAGTTCCATGGTCTCTCAGATATTCAGTATCGTAAATGGACATGCCCAGAGAGAATAAAACTGGCCATCTCTGAAGTAAATGAAAGACAAAAAAAGACCTCAAGGAAGGGACTTCCCTGGTGGCACACTGGTTAAGAATCCACCTGTCAATGCAGGGGACGGGGTTCAATCCCTGGTCCAGGAAGATCCCACATGCCGCGGAACAGCTAAGCCCGTGCGCCACAACTACTGAGACTGTGCTCTAAAGCCTGTGAGTCACAACTACTGAGCCCACGTGTCTGGAGCCTGTACTTTGCAACAAGAGAAGCCACCGCAATGAGAAGCCCGTGCACTGCAACGAAGAGTAGCCCCCACTCGCCACAACTAGAGAAAGCTCATGAGCAGCAATGAAGACCCAACGCAGCCAAAAATAAATAAATAAATAGATAGATAGAAAGAAAGACCTCAAGGGCAAGACTATCAAGAATGGCCAGGGTGGGAGACCAAAGCCAAATCAGAAAGAGAGAATTCAAAGTATTAAATATTTTTCATTTTATTATTGGCACGGTTTTGGTTCTGTTTTTTTTAAAACTCCTTGACAGTCATTACACAATAAATTATAAAGCTCAGTGTTTTAAAAATTCAAGAATAATGGCTCCAAAAATGAATAAGAGAAGAGAATGATGACAATGACCATATTTACTAGACTTTGTGAGTTTCTTATCAAAAATAATTCTATGCTCTAAAGAAATAAATCCCAGCCTTCAGTTTAAGCTATAACAACACTATTTGTGTAAATGAAAACAATAAGGGTCCGAATAAGGGAACTGGGCAGCTTTGGGGCCAGTGGTAAAGCACTGCGACTTTAGCTGACCAATCGTTGTAAATAACGGGCACTTTAGTGACAGAACACTGCTGTTGAGTGAAGTGGGTTAAATTCTGTCCAGCACAGGGATAGGTTTAAATGACCAAACAGGAAACTATTATACATATTATTTCCTTTCACACAAACCACCACCAGATGTGGCACTACCCAGAGCCCCAAGAGCAGAGAGATGAAAGACAAAGGCCTGGGATTTGAAATAAGTTCCTGAGGCTGTTAGAAGGAGGCTTTTTCTTAGAAGCATCAGAGAGGCAGCTAAGTTTGTGCGTTGACTAGGAACATTCATTCTGGTTCCAGCAACTTTGAGAGCATTAAAGCCAGGTAAGGTCCTCCCCCACCCCCATGCCTACCCCATGTAGTTATTATCAAAAAAGATTTATAGTAAAACAAGAATGAAAAACAGTACTTTGGGAATTTTTAACTTTATCCCCATTTTACCACTGCTCTTATTAAGTCTTTTAGTTACTCCGCCAACGGCCCCATCATTACCCGGAGATCTGTTCGTCAGTCCCAGTACTTGCTGCAAGCATTATGCTGCCAGTTTAGTTTTCCCATTCGGCTCTCAGCATCTCCCTACATTTTACCAAAGCCACCATCAATTACCACAAGCATCTTTCTGAGGACACATACTCTATACACACTATATTTGGAAGGAGGCTAAAGCGGGGATACACTGACCTAAATAACATAATTGGGGCATGTCACTAAATGGCAACCTTCAGAGATAACATCATCTTTTATCCCTGGTTACTCACCAAGCTTGTCATGACAGTCATTTCTAGGTAAATCTTACTCTGGAAATCAGTGACCAAATGCCTGACATTTAAAAAGATAAAATTCTGGAGTGTTTATGGAGAGACTGATAATTTGAGGCAAGGGTGGAGACTTTCCCATATTCCACAACTCTGGTTGGATTGAAAGGAATCCTCTGAAACTACTAATCTAGAGGGCTGCCATCTACCCACACCCACCCACAGGGTCATTCATGCAAAATATCAGCTCCAAGATCCCAATCCTCATTGTACATGTGAACACACTCTAGAGATTAAGTTCATCTTTACTGAGTTAACTGTGTTTTCTAATTGGCAAGTTAGGCAAAGGCTAAAGTTTCAACTGACTATGGTATACTCTCATTTTCTTTCCCAAACTCTCAGTCTTGTGCCTTGCAGTTGTTGGACAGCTGCTGTACTAAACGAACACCCTTTAAAACACAAAGAAATGCTTTGGAGTCAAGCCAATCTCTTTGGGATTACAAGGAGTTTAGGCAGTACACTGAAAGGGGGAAAAGAAAAAAGAGGACTTGGCGTTTGGTCCTCTGCTTCAACTTTAAGACCCAACTGTCTATTTATACAAATAGTCTAGACTTGTTATCTTGCCACATCACATCTCAGAATGTAAGTGGAGGGAAACCAGTTTGGCAAGATAGTAAGGGAACAAGATAATGGGTTTAAATGACGAAATAGGAAATCCGTTCCTGGGTGGTGTTTGGCAGTTTAGTGTTGCAAGGGGTGGGTGTGGGGAATATGGGACGGTGGCAAGGGACAATTTGCACACTTGGTTCATGAGTGAGCACAGTGGGAGTAGGACTATAATTCGGGGTCAATTCCCCTTCATGTTACGTGCCTACTAGTATATAGTGGATATACCCATTTTCATTAGCAAAATGATTTTAATGACATGTTGAAAAAATAAATAATAAAACTCATACGAAGTCAAAATTACAAAATAGGTTACTACCTTTAATCTCTGCAAAAATATTAATAGTTTGTCTGGGTTTTAGCTAACTGCATGATGCCATTTCTATTTCAAAGTGATTGCAGATTTAACTATATAATTCGTTGTGTTTTTGTTTTTGTTCAAAATCCTTCATTAGATCTTGAAGTGTTAAATGGATCTCAAATAAGAGGCATTTCTTCCTGTTTCTTCTATGGTGTGGTCAGCCAGTAACTGATGGAGAGTGGAACAAAGGGGTGTTATTATGCAATAAGAATTGTCTAACAAGAGACTGCTATCAAAGAGCAAGGCAGGTTCTAACAAAAAAGTTACATAAAACTGTTGCCTTTTTGAGCAAGTAGAATGAATACTACTTGTTGAGTTAGTATTGATTTTCTAATAATCTGTTGGGAAAAGAGACGTTTAAAACACTTTAAGCTTTTTCTTTGGACTGCTATTTGGTAAAAATATAAATTTATTCTGAAACTCTCATACTTGTATTATCTCAACCGCAACAATGAGAATGAAGATAAAAGGTTTTGACTCCTAGATTCATAAATAAATATAATTATTCAATTAGTTTAAAAATCTTGTTATTACTAGAACTCATTGTCATACAAAAATATGTCCCACTCCAAGTATTCATAATTTGTGTGAAATGAGGCTAAATGAATCTCTATACCAGCTGTTAGTCCCTTTCTGGAATAAGGATCAAGCTAATGAGAAAATGAAATCTGTGATCGTCTATATTCATTCTTCTTTTCATATATACTCCATTAAGACAGGATTAGAGTATCTTGATGATGTCTGGTATAAAAACTTGGACTGAAGTAACACTATCACATGTATCTCTATTAGATCTTTATATTAACAGATCAAGTACCCGGTCCCTTGTTGGACTGTGAATACTTTAAGGGTAGGGGCTTAACCTTCACTCATCTTTATAAACAGCTCTGACACACAGCCTGGCACATGAGAATCCAACGCATGCTATCTGAACAAAAGAAAATGATTAGCAAGGCCAGAAGTCCTGTTGCCCAACACGACCTTCTTTTGCAGATTGGTCTCCAGTCCAAGGCCTATTCATTTGTTCTGCTTCCATAAAGACCTGCTTCCTGACTGGGGCAGGTTTGTCCCAAGGCTTGGCTCTCACTCTAGGCTGCACTTCAATTTACAATAAGCCCTTGATGAATAAGTGCCACATCCACAGTGCAGCATCATCACTTTAAAATCTAGGGATGGGGCTTCCCTGGTGGCGCAGTGGTTAGGAATCCGCCTGCCAATGCAGGGGACACGGGTTCGAGCCCTGGTCCGGGAAGATCCCACATGCCTTGGAACAACTAAGCCCGTGTGCCACAACTACTGAGCCTGCGCTCTAGAGCCCGTGAGCCACAACTACTAAGCCCACATGCCACAACTACTGAAGGCTGCACACCTAGAGCCCGTGCTCTGCAACAAGAGAAGCCACCACAATGAGAAGCCCATGCACTGCAACGAAGAGTGGGCCCCACTCGCTGCAACTAGAGAAAGCCCGGGCACAGCAATGAAGAACCAACGCAGCTAAAAATAAATAAATAAAATAAATAAATTTAAAAATAAAATAAAAGCTAGGGAGGTACCGCTGGTGACACTATATTGGTCAGGCTCAAAATGGAGCACTGTGTCCAGACTGGGACTCCCAATTTTAAGAAGGAAACAGAAATGGAAACCACGTAGGGAGCTGTGGCAATAATTAAAGGATTGGCTTGTGTTTGAGTAAACATTCTTTATATTTTGGATTTCAGGAAAAATCATGAGAACTATTTGAAATATCAAAGATAGACAGGACATGCAGTATTTATTATATTTGATTAAGCTGTGACTTTATACATTTTCTAACCTGAAACCACCATAACGACATATTTGTTTTTTTAAAAAATCAAAAGTTGCTGACTTAGTTGACCCTTTATTTTTTTGCTGAGACTTGAAGTGTGTTGCATGGATCCATCAAACCAGCCTATGAAATGCAAATTAACTCAACCTCCGTATTTCAGTATTTCCTGAATCGCCTTATACCACTGAAGATAGTGAAAACATTTCTTTTGATACTTTTCTAATATGAAATTCCTAAAAAAGGTCATGGGAATGGGAAGGAAGGTGGTAACCTTACTTCAAAATCAGTAATTTTGAACTTACTGTTCATAGAGGATATTTTACTCAATTTTTCCCCTGCTTCCAGGACAATCAAGACATATATGCATATGTATGTGCCTATTAGTATGTGTGTTACTCTACTTTTGCTAACTAGATAATACATAACCTTTAAAATATATATAGCTAATTAAGCCATTTTTCCAAAAGTGGGAAAAAAACCAAATGTCCATTAACTGATAAATGGATAGATAAAATGCAATGAATCCATATAATGGAATATTATTCAGCCATAAAAAGGAATGAAGTACTACCACGTGGATGAACCCTGAAAACATTATGCTGAGTGAAAGAAGGCAGACATAAAAGGCTACACATTATATGATTCTATTCACGTGACATGTTCAGAATAGGCAAATCCACAGAGACAGAAAGTAGATTAATGGTTGCTGGGGGCTGGAGAGAGGGGGAACAGGAGTGGCTGCTAATAGGTACAGGGCTTCTTTTGGGAGTGACAAAAATGTTATGAAATTAGAGTGGTGATGGTTGTATAACTTTGTGAATATGTTAAAAACTACTGAATTGTACACTTTAAAAGGGTGAGTTTAATGGTATGTGAATTATGTCCCAATATGTCTTTGAAAATAAAAAAAATAGCTAATCATGAAAACAACAAAAGTTCTAGTGATTTTTAAGTAAGTCACTGAATTTTTGATGAGTCTCAATATCCTCACCTCTAAAATGAACAGGTGACAGGGAGGGCGGGAGGGAGGCACAAGACGGAGGGGATATGGGGATATATGTATACATACAGCTGATTCACTTTGTTATACAGCAGAAATTAACACAACATAGTAAAGCAATTATACTCCAATAAAGATGTCAAAAAATAAAATAAAATGAACAGGTGGGATTAAATGCTCTCTTTAATCCTTCTTGCTTTAAATACCGATGATTCTATTTGGAATATAATAGATTTTCATAACTTGAGAATTTCTCACATTAAGAGCTTTGTCTATTGTCTGAAATGGAACGTCAAGTAAAGATGCCCAGGTATTGCCTGACTAACCTTAAGCATGTTGCTTTAAGACGTCAAAACCCAAGTTTTTTTTTTTTAAGAGTAAACATTTCTTTTTAGAAATAAGGAGGAAATCCAACTCCTTGATAAAACTAAAGATGCCATCAGGATAAAAAGCAGAAGCAGTGCAAACCAACAGAATTCAGTTGGCCAGCTCCTAACACCATAAAATAGGCTTTATCTAAAACAAAAGTTTCCTCTCACTCAAAACGGGTACAGTTAAACTACTCATGATTTGCACTGCATTTTTCCTGAGTTTCACATTGTTTCTGTCACTTTTTTGTAATGTTTCTGTTTTAGAATGTTCAAACTATTCAATTGCAACTACTGCTGTCAAACACCAAATCCCACGAGGGTTTATACCTACTCTAAATAAGCAACTGGTTCGAGTAAACAAATAAAAATATCAGGCAATCCAAGCTGCAGAACCAGGCTGATGGTCAACTATATGGGTCAAAGGACAACTGCAGAGATGTGACACAAAAAAGTTCCAGGTTATTTCAACTCAAGAATGAAAGGAAATAAAACCACAACTGATACATGGAAAGACATCCAGTGTTTCAACCAATTGTCACTAGGCATGTAATTCAAAACACTGAATAAAATATGAAATTCCCAGAACAAAACATAAGCATCACAATAAATCATATGAGTTGACAAGTACATGATCTGGCGGCCTTGCGCAAAGAAAATCCTTTTGGTTTTAATGGACTCTGCCTTAGCCACCCCTCACACTGCCTTTACCCTCAATCTTTACCATTTCAGTTAACGGCAACTGCATTCTTCATCACATCCCACAACAATCTGTTAAGAAATCCTGTTGGTTCTATCTTTAAACTATACTGTATAGAGTTAAAACACTTTGTACCACCTCTACCATTACCAAGACACAATTTTTCCTTGCTTGAATTCTTGCAATGGCCTTCTAACTGGACTCCCCAATTTCTAGTCTTATCCCAAATACAACCTATCCTCAGTAGTAAGTAGAGTGATTTTTTTTTCAAATGAGAAGTCCAATCACGTCACCTCTCTGTTCAAAATCCTCTGAAGATTTTTAATTTCACTCAGAGAAAAATCCAAGTCTTTACAATGGCCTACAAGGCCTGATAAGAGCTGGTTTCCTATTTCCTCTCTGGCCTCATGTCCCACCACTCACTCTGTTCCAGCCACAAAGGGCTAGCTATACTTCTTCAAATTCAAGGCCCAGGTCCTTTGCACTTGCTATTTCCAAGTTATCTGCAGGGCTCTCTCCTTATGCTTTTAAGTCTGTTAAAACGTCAGCTCCTTGATGTTTTTCCTGATTTACCATCAGCCCCCAGTACCTGCATTATTTTTCTCAGTAGCAATTACGACCTTCTATTGTGTAGGGTACTTATTCTCTTTGTTTCTAGTCTGTCTTTCCCTATGAAAATATAAACTCCAGGAGGGCAGGATTTTTTGTATTTTTGTCTACTATTGTATCCTATCACCTAGAACAGCGGATGCTCACTAAACATGTGCAGAACGGGTGTTGCATGAACTCACCAGTCTCAGCCAGGTCAGTGCTCTGAAGAAATGTACGGCAGCGCTCCTTGTGCTCCTCAAGGGAACTTCTCTGCTTGTAACTCCTGCCGCAAAACTCACATTTATAGGGTTTCTCAACTATAAGGAGAGCACAAGGGGTACTCAGTGACCCTCAGGGGTTATAGAACAAATGGTGTATTGGGGCCCTGTGAAAACTGTCCACTAGGAATGAGACTGCTGAGAGAAGCCAGAGTATTTGGATACTTGTGCACTTACAATTACTTTTAAATTTAGCCAACTGAAATAAGGTTATGGCCTATGATTGACTATCATGTTATTCTTTGAAAGGATAGGGTCTTTTCACAAATGAAAGGATTTGGATTTAATGACTATCATGGAGCATAGTGTTTTGGCTCCCGATCCAATCTTGCTTCTTCAGGAAAAAAATAAAAATAGGAACTTTTTATTTTTCAAGGAGGTTAGTGTGGTTTAAGAATGAAGTAGGGGGCTTCCCTGGTGGCGCAGTGGTTGAGAGTCTGCCTGCTAGTGCAGGGGACACGGGTTCGAGCCCTGGTCTGGGAGGATCCCACGTGCCGCGGAGCAACTGGGCCCGTGAGCCACAACTACTGAGCCTGCGCGTCTGGAGCCTCTGCTCTGCAACAAGAGAGGCTGCGACAGTGAGAGGCCCGCGCACCGCAATGAAGAGTGGCCCCCGCTTGCCGCAACTGGAGAAAGCCCTCGCACAGAAGTGAAGACCCAACACAGCCATAAATAAATAAATAAATAAATAAATAAATATTTTTAAAAAAAAAGAATGAAGTAGGAAGAAATCCCACATTCTGCGACATCCAGTTGGCTGTAAGTAAAGAATGCTGTAGTTTGTGGGAGTTAGTCATTCAGTCTTTTTAGAGCACTGGCATATTTCGATAAATGTAGCTTGTCCTTGCTCAGTGGCTATAGCAAAGTCTGGGCTCAATCAATAAAAACTGACCCAACCAGCTAAGGATAGTTTTTGTTTTCTTTTTTTAAATTTATTTACTTATTTTTGGCTGTGTTGCGTCTTCGTTGCTGCGCACGGGCTTTCTCTAATTGCGGCGAGCAGGTGCTACTCTTTGTTGCGGTGCGCGGGCTTCTCATTGTGGTGGCTTCTCTTGTTGCGGAGCACGGGCTCTAGGCACGCGGGCTTCAGCAGTTGCAGCACGTGGGCTCAGCAGCTGTGGCTCACGGGCTCTAGAGTACAGGCTCAGTAGTTGTGGCGCATGGGCTTAGTTGCTCCATGGCATGTGGGATCTTCCCAGACCAGGGCTCGAACCCGTGTCCCCTGCATTGGCAGGCGGATTCTCAATCACTGCGCCACCAGGGAAGCCCCTGAGGATAGTTTTGAATAATAGAAATAAGAAGGAATTGCCAAAATGACTTCATCTTAACTTCTAAGATAAAGCAAAAGTTTCCTCAAAAGTTCATCCATACAATTCAGGCCACCTTTAACCTCCTAAGTCCTCCAAATGAGTTATTTTTTAAATTATGTAAGTAATAACTTCAATTCTGTGTGCGGGGCTAGCCTTTCTGACTTGTCGATGAAATGTACCCCATGAATTTTTCAGAGTTTTAGGGACTGAGATTTTTTTATTTTCTAATCCTCTTGCTCGGTTTAAAATAGTGCCTTTGGGACTTAAAGCACTAAAAGATCCTTATGGAATCCCAAGTTAAAATAAATGCAGCTCTGTTAGGGCTAAGAATGTTAAGTTTCTGCATAAATTGGGGTCTTCTAGAATCTGTCTTAAAAATGACTATTATTGTTGGATCTTACTTGGAAAAAGCAACAGAAAAGAACTACTCTAAGTTTTTGGACCAAACTCAGTCGTAATTCATTACTTTGAACAATGAGCTGTAAAAGAAACCCTTCTTTTGCCACTTATGATCTCTCATGGTGGGTTTCGTTGGGGCTGATTTGTTTAATCCTTAGTCTCTGCATTGTGACCAGTTGCGGGTTTGGGGCTGGGTTTTCGTCAAAGCAGAATGTGGATTGACATAAAAACAAAGCTTTTTTTTTCTTCAATTAAAATTTTGTCAGATAACATCAAGAACATGAGGTCCCAAATTTGAAAATAAACTCAGTTTTATTTTTCTAGGAGGGAAATTCTAAATGTTGAAAAAAATGTATCTTCCGTGGTTAAAATAGGAGCGAAAACATCAAGACAGAACATAGCTTTTTATGAATTCTTACTGCTGCTCATCTTTTAGAGACTAAAAATAAATAGGCTGATGAAGAAGAAAGTTGGGTTTAAGAAATTTAGCTCATATATACCTAAAACTAATACTATGTTATATTGTCAATTATATCTCAATGCAAAAAAAGAAATCTAGACCAGAATGGCCAAAACTCCCCAATTTAGCCCAGACTAGCCAAAACTAACCCCCAACAATGAGTCATACCCAGTTTACAGTTTTACATAATTTACAAACAGTACATCATTTGCTTTATCCAGACTTTTGAATGAAAAGTATGTGTGTATATTTTTAGGAAAATAATATTTTAATAAAGTTTACCATAAAAATACTGATGGCTATAATTTTTTTTGCAAAAATTAAAAAAGCATTTTTATAGGGCAGGCTCTTCCTGTCTGACTGTGATGTTCTCTAGGGGCGCAAAGATGGTACGGAGATGATCAACCCCACTGAGCCAGACGGAGAGCAATTAATGCCTTAATGGAAGTGCAATTAGCCCTAGAGGTCTCTGCTGTTGTAACCCTTCAGAACCGGAGTGACGGATTAAAACCTCCACACTTAACTCTTTCTAGTTTCCGCAATGGGCACTGAGGAACACACATTTACTAGATATGGAATGCTCACTGCTCTCACTTACCAGAATGTGTCCTAAGATGACCTGTGAGTGCATCTCTTCTCTGGCATGCATAGTTGCAGAGGTGACACTTAAAAGGTTTTTCCCCTGTGTGCAGTTTAATGTGGCGGAGGAGGTTACCTTTCTGAGTAAAAGATGCCCCACACTGATTACACTGGAATGGGCGTTCACCTTTAAAAAGGACAAAAAAGAGATTTCTGATCACCCAGCAAGTGGCGGAACATATGCACAGATTAGATGCCTATGGCAAAAGCTCATTTTTTAGATAGTTTCTGTTCATATTGGGATAAGATGGGAGCTGTATTTCAAGGCAAGCCTAAGACTTACTTATGGAATCTTCTCTCCAGAAGAGAAAAATCACTCACCTAGCAAGGCTACTTGAGGCATCTTGTCTTGGATCAGAGCAAAAAAATAAGAGTAGCTTTAGAAGTGCTTTCTAGATTTAAGTTTTTACATTACTTAGCATTCCTTTTGAATGTAATCTCAATCTGTAAAAAGAGTCACAGACTGAAGTCCTAACAAGGTATAAAGAGCCAGAAGCGTTTTTTTTCTTTAATTCAAGAAATGCTTTTTAAAGTCGTCATATCCGATGTCAGATGAAATCTATTGGGCTCACTGGGAGTGTTATGTTTGTATGCATTTCTGTTGACTGCCTTTTTGTTGTCCGAAAATAAATTTTTTAAAATTGTTAATAAAAGCTATGTCCCTTCATCTACCAAATTTGAACTCAATACAGTGAGATCTGCTTTTTTAAAAGTTATGCAAAAATATATGAAAGACGCCTAAAAAGCATATCACACGATTTAACTCCCACTTATTAACTGAAGAAAAATATGTGGCTGACCTAGAACACAGTGCTCTCTACAGTCTTCTTTTATTCATAGCATTTGCAATATGTTTGCCAAATGCACCATGAAGCAGGAATAAAAATCACTGGGTAAATGGAAATACAGAGAGGGAGAGATACATCAGAATTTTAGCAAAAATCAATGAAAGTAATCAAAAGTAAGTCTTAAATACCACCACTTCTTTTCTCATGTGGTTGAATTAGGACAGTTTTCAGAACAATGGATAAAGGAGACTATTTACCAGTATGGCTCCGCTTATGAACCATTAAGACATTGAAGCTAATGCAGGATAATCCACACACATCGCAGTTCATCTTGCCACTGGTCGGCCTGCTGCTATCGTATGAGACAACGTGTCTCTCCAACTTAATGTTTTCATATTCATTATATTCTCTTGAATAGCTGTAAGGAACTTCAGGCTCTTCTGCATTTCCCAAGGGTTCTGGCTTTAAAACATTCTCATCCCCTTCACTGTATTCATCTTTCACTTTCATTGAATCATCTGCAGGGAGGAAAATGCAAGAAATGAACAATGATTGGTTTTGGAGCTATCAAAGCAGCTCAGAGAGCAGAGACCCACAACTGACAATTAAATACCAAATGAAGCTAACAATATTGTACATCCACAAAACAAGAAAATACCATTAGGATGATCACGCGTTATTTGAATTCAGAACCATAGTCAGGGGAAAACACAGACACGTGCACGCGCATGCGCACACGCGCACGCACGCGCGCACACAAAGAGATGACAGTGTTTTAGGCCATCCAGAAAATTAGAGAGAATAGATTTTAGCTATGACTCTTCAAAGCGACTATGAAAAAAACATTTTGAGCAATTCTTCTCCAGTACCGGGGGAGGAGAAAGGTTCTCAGATTTAGTACTTTTTTGGTGGTTGCAGTTACAAGGCAAGGTGATGTTCTCCTTGGCTTCAAGAAGAAAATGCTGCTTTAATTCTTCAATTGCATCCAATTTATGCCACTAAGACTGAGAGTTGAATAGTTAACATGTTTTTTTCTGATTTTAAGCCATGCTTTGCCTCTTCCCCTTCCATGTATACCAACTGCTAAAATGAGTCTTATCTCTCTCTCTCTCGGAACCGATAAAGAGAGAGCACTGAATGTAGAGGAAGCTGGCAGTACTAGTGAAATAGTGTTGAGAAAGATAAAAGGAGAAGTAATCCTTTAACATAACCTTCTAAGGAGTCATTTTCATTGACACAGGTAAATGAAGCTCAACCTAAGCAAGGGGAAGGGCACCTATACCCAAGTTAGGGAGGGCTAAACTCGAGGTCCTAGAATTGTAGGACGGGATAGGAGAGGTGGGGCGGGTCAAAGTGAGTTGGCTGATCAGGTACTATCTCAAAAAGAGGTGCAGCACTCTTAAGCTGAAGAACATAAGAAATGAAGAAGGTAAATTTATGTACTGATACCAAGAAAACCTAAATATTTGCCTGATATAATAACAGTAAATATTTACAGGGGATTTTTTCATATATGTATAACGCTGCATAAATGCTTACTTAAAAAAAATTCATTCTTAGAAACTGGAAATTGTAATGCTCCATGAGGAATCACAAACCAATGGAATTTCAGGGCTCGAAGGGAATTTAGAGATCATCTAATCCAACCCTTGATTTTCAGGTAAGGAAATCCAGGATCAGAGACGTTTTTGGTGAGTAGTCCAAAGTTACACAGCCGGTTAATAGCAGATTAACTGTGCTTAGAACACTGAGCTTGGATTTGGCCTCACACTCTGACACATCAAGTCTAATATGCCCCTTACCATCATATTCCACACTCCCCCATCAATGGGGTTAGACTTTAAAAGCCAAAACACGCTGAAGAAAAGATATTTTAAAAAACGACATCCCTTCCAAACAACACCAGTAAGTGCAGCTCCTGTTGCCACATAGGAGGAAGTATAACTGCAGCTGTGCCTGGCTTGCTACCTTCCACTCAAGTTTCAATTTTCACTTCTATCAAGGTTACCTTTCATCTATATTAACTGTGTTTGCTTAATAGAGCAAGACAGGGCCTAACCACCAACAGAGGAGCCATTGCTGCAACACTGTTCCACTGCTTCTCATCACGGTTCATGGTTCACAATCTTTCACTCTGTGATTATAAGAAATGTAGGGCTACAGGAAACATCCAACGTGTTTCAAATTTGCCCATCCTATGCATCTGGATTATACATGAATTGATATACGTTTCCTACGGGAAACGGATGAGAAGGGAATGGAGAGAGATTCATTCCCTTCTTTCTCTGGACACATCTTGCCTCTTTCAGATGGAATTTGTTTTCTTAAGTGGTTTTTGCTTTAAAAACAATTTTTTTTTTGAAAGAGAAGGATGCACCTGAGGCTTGTACCCTCCTCCCTTCCTCCATCACTCCAGCTGTGGGTGATATCCCACCAAAGCTTGAATGCTCTTTAGTTTGCATGTAGGCGTTTAAAAGAAACTCAACGGAAAACTTCAGCTACTGAAAACCAGAAACAGCATACAGAAAGGGCCGGCAGAGAAGGATCCTTTTCATTTTCGTTGTAAATGTTAATATGAACAGACTCAGGCCATTCTGTGGTCAGTGACAATTAAAAACTAGTAAGATCAATGTTTCGGGTCTTTCTGAAAACACAGGACATGAGAGGGTTGCTCCTTCTCTCAGGATTTTGGCTTTAATGGGCTTGACCTAGAACTCAATACTACCCCGACCTGGCTCAAAACAAATTCTTGGCTTTTGTCATTTGGGACTTAGCCATAGAACAAGGAAGACAGTATTTGAGACCCAGGGTTCTAAGGGAACGCATACAGACACATGGACAGGGCATTAAGGAAGTCCCTGGGACTTAGCGGACCAAAAGAGCTCCTGGTATAGTTATTGGTTTGCCCTTGGAGTCCTACCAGTTTTAGATAAAAGAACTGGATGTCCTCTCTTCATGGTTACTGGGGATCAACAATTCATTATGGTTTACCATGTGAAAATAAACAGAGCTGAATATTAGAATACATTAGTATCTAAGATACAAAAGGGATTCCTGAGAGATTATTGGGCTTAGCACCCAGTCTCCAAATATAGTCCACCAAAACTACCAGAAACGACACTAGTCTGCTCTAAGGACTGAGAGATTCATTCTCTTCCTTGGGAGGAAAATTTATTGGAGCAGAGGAAAGGTGGGGGCATTCTACTTAGTATCCCTTGAAAACATTAAGAAACATATCTAAAATCAAACTTGTCATCTTTGAACCCAAAATTGCTGCTAACTTATGATGTCTTTATAGTCACACATGGCATCTTCCTTCTTGCATTCTCCAAGTCTTGAAACTGGAATCCTTTTCTGTCCAATCTCCACATCAAGTCAGTCTCCAAGTCCTATAGATTCTACGTCCTCAGGTTCTCTAGATGCCAACTCCTCTTTTCTATTCCCTTTGCAATTTAGTTTAGCCTCTCATCCCATCATACCTAAACTCATCCTCTCTCAACATTCCTTTCTAGATAGATTTCATACAGAAGTAATCTGTGCTTACTGTCTCTACGATCTCAAAACTGATATAAAATTCCCTGTAATCTGGCTTCTGCCTCCATAATTCACTGAATCTGCTCCCTTGAAGATCATCAATAAACTCCTGATTCTTAAATCTAATGGCCTTTTGTGTGCCATTCTCCCCAGCTTCTCTGTAGCCCTTGATACTGTTGACCTCCACTCCTTGTTCTTCTGTATTTCTACTTCTTCAGTGAAACTGTACCTTCTTTCCTCACCTTTCTGATTGCCTCTTTCTAGCTCTTCCCCCAGCTCTGCCTCCCAAATACTGTCCTTAACCCCCTTTTTTCTTCCCTCTATACCCCCTCCCCTATGGCAATTTCATCCACTCTTAAGGCTTCAACTAGCCTTTTACATGATTAATCACCAAATATGTATCTCCAGGTGTAATCTCTCTCCCCTTCTTCAGTCCTCTGTTCCCAAAGGCCTCCTAGGTATCTTCATAGTTATTCAGGTTAGAATCTTTACAGTCATCTTTCCTTCCTCTTGTTTGCACCCCACGTTTAATCACCCATTGGTTTTATTTTTGTACCCTCTCTCCAATCTGCTTCTCCTCCCCACTATTTTACACACTCATTATCCCAAATCTCAGACCCTGATTGCTCTCCTATTGTGGTAGCCTCTACATTGTTCTCCCTGTCTCCTTTCTCTTTCCTTTCCAGCTCATGCTATACTCTGCCACCAGATGGTTCTTGTAAACTGTAGCTCTGGTCATATCATGACCCTGTCCAAATTCTCCAATATCCTCTGCTGCCAACAAAATAAAATCCAAACTCAGAAACAAAGAATTTAAAAGACCTTTCAATATCTGGCCCCAACAATTTTTGTAATGTTGATTCTGAATACTGAGATATCTTTAACCAAACTAAACAACTTCTAAGTATCCTTCCTTTTATTATTTCCACTGCCCTAAAGGTCTTACCCCAACATCACCACGGGTCCAAATCCTACACATCTTTTAAGGCAAAACTAATGTGCCATTTCCCCCTACTATGCCTTCCCTGATTCCCCTGGCTGCAAAATAATCGGCTCCTTCGTTCTTTGAGTTACTTGTAAGTGCACCTCATCTCCCATATGGACATGTAAGCTATCTGAGGTCAGAAGCTACACAGGTTTGTTATTTGCTTTTTGTTTTGTTTTCAACTCAGTATCCCCTATGACACTGCTTCACCTGTATCTGTAAGACGAGAGGTTGTGGGGTTTTAAAATAGAAATTTTGGGGGTCCCAAAATTGGGGGTGTGGGGGCTGGAAACATGCATTAAAAATGTTTTCTACTCAAAATGGATTAAAGACCTAAATGTAAGGCCAGACACTATAAAACTCTTAGAGGAAAACATAGGCAGAACACTCTATGACATAAATCACAGCGAGATCCTTTTTGACCCACCTCCTAGAGAAATGGAAATAAAAACAAAAATAAACAAATGGGACCCAATGAAGCTTAAAAGCTTTTGCACAGCAAAGGAAACCATAAATAAGACAAAAAGACAACCCTCAGAATGGGAGAAAATATTTGCAAATGAAGCAACTGACAAAGGATTAATCTCCAAAATTTACAAGCAGCTCAATATCAAAAACACAAACAAGCCAATCCAAAAATGGGCAGAAGACCTAAATAGACATTTCTCCAAGGAAGATATACAGATTGCCAACAAACACATGAGAGGATGCTCAACATCACTAATCATTAGAGAAATGCAATAAGGTATCACCTCACACCAGTCAGAATGGCCATCATCAAAAAATCTACAAACAATAAATGCCGGAGGGGGTGTGGAGAAAAGGGAACCCTCTTGCACTGTTGGTGGGAATGTAAATTGATACAGCTACTATGGAGAACAGTATGGAGGTTCCTTAAAAAACTAAAAATAGAACTACATACGACCCAGCAATCCCACTACTGGGCATATACCCTGAGAAAACCATAATTTAAAAAGAGTCATGTACCACAACGTTCAT